CCGCAGACACGTGCAAATGTCGTTGCCGAGGCATCCTGCGTCAAAAGATAGATCAGATGCATTGGTGGCAGCTGTATCGGCACCACCCGCGGCTTCGACGACATGCTGACCAATTCGTAAAAGGAAAGGATGCACGACGTGACCTCACTGCCTAGTCCTGCAGGTATCGAAACAAGAGCTGACGTGAATAATGTTGCAACATGCGCGGTCATACGGCTTAATGTCTGGTTACTTTCACTGCCGTGATTCGCAGTGTTAGTCACCATCGTCGATATATGGTGCTGTAAGAGAGCAGTATAGAAGTTGATGAGTTTGGGGTATACCGAGATGCCTTGAGCCGCTATGGCCCGCTCGACAAAGGAGAGATATGTCGCGTGAACTTCTTCGAATGACTCAATGTCAATATAGGACAGTAGTCCTAGGATCGTGTCAAGATTGTCCTGTACATTCCATACTGGCAGATACTCTCGAAAGAAAGCCAATACACCAGGGTGCAACGTCTTCGATTGGTCAGCCTCGCACAAGTCAATATAATAATTGCTCTTACCTTTGTGTACTGAGCATACCTCAAGAGACCACCAAGTATCTCATTGAGATATCCGTCATCTCCAGCCCCTTGGCGATGGGCCTCGAACTGCTCCTCTAAGCAAGCAGCAAGCCAAACACTGATCCTGGCAGTCGAAATGTGTGATGGCTTCAAATCCACATACTTTTGTAAAAGTGGGTCTACAAGCAACGATACCAGCTGACCTGGTGGCTCTATCCTATCAAGCTTCTCAACAAAATCATCAACACTGTCGATACCCTCGAGCGTTACCGAACTCTATCGTAAAATGTCAGTGTGTACTACAAACCGGCTTAGACGGAGAGCTTACTTCAGTCGCATGGTAGGTGTGTACTTCCGGGATGGCAGAGCTTTTGCTACCCTTGGGTCCTTTCCGTAGCACCTTGAAGCCATTCTGCACCTCCCCGCCTGAATCGTCCACAACATTGCTGGCCTCATGGATTGCAGCAATTCTGGCTCTCCATTCGTCATCCGGTCGCTGCAAAGTTAGTCCATGTTCGGCAGTACGACAGTGGGGTGCGGGGAAGTAGCGTGGGAGAGTCGAGGTTGCATTCGTGGTGGCACAAGCAGCGGATACTCACCGGAGCGAAGGATTTGCGACTCGTGGAAGTACTTCCAAGAATGATGTCGGGATAGTAGTCCTTGTACACGCGGAGAAGTCCCTGTAACGCGGGTTCATTGCCTAGTCCGCGTGAAAGCTCCAGTCTGCAGTTGCATTAGTAGGCCATATCAAAGCACCGCCTTTGGATTTTTTACGCACAGTTGCTGTATGCGAAATGGCTTGACGTGCTTTCTGCGAGTGATGAGCGAGAGCAGATGACACAAGGAAGTCCTGCTAAACTTAGCACACATGTAGTTGCAACCTGGCTCAAGTGGCACACCTAATGCTGATCATATCCAGCATGTCGAACAGAACGCTATACAGGCGCGAGAGAACACTCTGTTCTTCGATGATCTCATGAACCGTAATCAGCCACTTTACCAGACTGTCTTGGGTGCCAGGCGAGGGCTTTCCTTTGCCCTGACCAAGCGCCCCGACAACAGTGATGACCACATCACGTGGTATGCGCCGGGCAGGGTACAGGTTCTTGATCAGGGTAGTGATGGTTGTCTGATCTAGCGACGTCTTCACCGATATAAGCTGTACAACATCTCGAAGAGCATCCTGGTCAAGGCCACCTTCTGTGGCATAACGGCAGATGACATCGACTATGCTCGAGACCTTGATGGTGCGTTGCTTTGCTGGTGTCCTGGAAGCTGCAAGCCACTGTAAGCACTCTTCCTGACCGAGTCGACAGTCGCGTAGTGATGCCTACCTTGGTGTAATAAGTTTAGCGTCTCCTGCAGCGTGGGCCGCTCGTCTGCCGAGTCCATCAGTAGCTGGCACAGGGCGGGTTGCAGGTCGAGTTACCAGCAACAGATGGCATGCCGCTGTCAGTACCAGCATGCATCGGATAAGACCGCGTTTGGCCGTTGGGGATTCTCGGTGCGGTTGCGCGGGCGCGTTGCCGTCGTGGTTGTTGACATGAAGTTGCGCCTTGCCCGTTTGGACCGCAACCAAACAAGCGAGCCAGCTCCCCGCGAGCCAGCCATCCATCCAGAATAGGGCGTGCTACACCTCTTCCACCCACCTTGCAAACAGTACTGTCCTATGACTCTATCGCATCTGCGTATTCGGCCCTTCCTTCTATAGCCAATGGCTCGACGTACTCGTCCACTCACCGATTGGGGCTCCTGCGGCTCGCTCACGCTACTCCGGCTTGGTTCAATTAATCATGCAGATGTCACCCGCATGGCCTATCCGTCACTGGAACACGCTTCGCAGCGCTCGCCAGTCTCCACATTCACCTTGAACATTTTGTGCTACATGGCAAGCATAAAAAGGTAAAGATGCGTCGACTTGGCCGGTCCGACTGGCTCTGGGTCATGGGCTGCTTTGCACGTCAGCGATCGACTCCATCACTCTCTCTGCAACATCAACTCCAAGCGTACACACCCCCGCGCGCTGCACGCCCCCTGATGATGGTGTACGTACGCAGACATGTGCCTGGCCTACTGACCCGGTTGTTGGCTGGCTGCCTGATCCTGAGTGGCGTCCTTTCACAGATCCTCCACCAGACCCGGCCGGTGAGGCGGTTTGTCCAGAGTGGCAGCTTTCATCTTCCCTTCTGCCAGTACTGTAGGGCTCCAGGACTACCATGACTATCACTTCCTCATACACATGCACATTGCAACAGTGCCCCGCATGTGCTATCCTATCAAACCTCGTTCGCCTTCGATACACGATCCCGCTGCTGCCCGATACAACCATGGCCATGCGGCGAGGCGTCCGTTGAAGTAACTGCCCACATAGGCACCCGCGCCACCAGAATGCCTGCGTCGTATCGGTCGTGGCCATGGACTGGAATATGCCAGCCACTCGGCACTCCTTCCGCCTAGCACAGTCCCAAATTATTTGCTTTATCTGCCGGCCGTGCCCGCATGGCCGAAGGTTTGTACTACCCTCCTCATATCTGATCTGGTATCACCTCGATCATCATTTTCAATAATATCGGCATGCACACCTGGTAGCTTGTAGTTAATCAATTCTACTGTCTAAAGCCTCTAGGAGCCGGGAGCACGATTACCGCCCACCTTGTGGTCATCAACCACTCGGTTTCCGGGTTTGTTGACCTGTTCCTGGAGTATTGAAGGAGAATATTGGGTAACCACACCTACGTGATTAGTCGCGGCTAGGCCTGCGCCATTGAGCTCGCTATTGAGCATTAGCATTCCCGAGCCTTGCCTTAGCCTCAAAAAATTACTGTTGTCTCACGGCATAGCAAGTTTCCTTCTTTTCGGCAACCCAGGCTCGTTGCATTGCAGGTGAGGTACGCGAATTGGGGTACTTTCCTGGAGCTTGATCCGCGAGTCTTCTGTGGTCTTTACAGGAAATGCCGACGAAATCTCTTACTGCACTATCCGTTTGTCTTGTGTAGAATTATCTACGCTGGGATCATATCCAAGGTACACTGGCCACTGGTTATGTATAAACACAGAACAGAAACCCCCTTCACCTACAAGACATTTTGCTCAAGAACAATCTTTCCAACATCTTGCCCATCAGATCTGACCAGGATGCTTCATGGAGTTTCGACCACCGGCGACGCTAAACTTGTACGGTGCCCAAAGAGAACTCTCGAGAGATTACGGCATCTAAACGAAGCTGAGATCATCACTCTCTTCACGCCAATTGTCCCACACCCTCCTTCTACAACACTGGCAAAAGACATGGATCCCTTTGAACCTTTGGGCCGGGTGCTGCCACGAAAAGTACGACATGTCCCATACCGCCTCGACTACGGAAAAACCGAAACGCACGCCGACTTTCTGCCTTCGAGTGGAGCAGTTATAGTTGTTATTTGTGCGACGGCCAATGTGCTCGGATATGATGCTCAAGCCTTTGAGAAACAGTTGCAGTTTACTCGGGGCATAGCAAAGGACATCAAGGAGAACAACTCGATAGCCGGTATCCCTTTTGCAGTGCTCCTTATCAGTAATGACGCTGCTGGAAGGGGCTACATTAATGCCAGCTACGATCTCCCGGCAGTTATTACAGCCAACGATTATACAGCTGCAGCGTTGAACAATGCTGTCCGAGTTTTGTTTGGGATTTGAGAGTGATGAAGGGTGGTCTTTTGTGTATCACTATCTGGATGTTTTTTTTTTGCGCTACATCACATTGGGGGGTTTTCGTGTTATGGAGGTAAGTGTCATTGAGCGGTATCTGTGTAGCGTTCCAACTGCAAACAATGGCCTTGTTAGCTTAGGCATGATGCAACATGTCATTGGCTTTAGTCCGAATTTATTGTTTTCTTTACATACGTCATGATAATGTATCCACCACCTCACTCAGCATTTTCATCTTGGTGCTCATCTCAACTCAGCAATACAATAGCACTGATGTATTCAAACAACCTAGTGAGAATACTCTTCACTGCCCACCATACTCTACTCGATAGTGAAATTGAAGGCTGAAGAAAATAGAACCATGTCAACAACGCCTGAGGTGGAAAAAAGTAGCTCGCCCCACTCGACCTACACGCGCGCATGCAAGGTCAATGTGATTAGTTTCTGCACACCGTGCATTGTGCATATCACAGCGCATATAGAGACGCTCACGTGAGGTCGGTGCCATGCTAGACAAGGAATGTACCTCGTATGTATGCAGTCTACGTGGCAGACAGGTACAAGGGGAGGGGGAAAAGTAAACTTTGTACATTGGGGAACGAGTACGTAGCCATGTTGACTTGGCGCCTTGGGGGCGTTCAACGAAGAGAGGATAGCAAAGGTATTAACATTATATTTGGTATCTCGTATCCGTTTCTGAGTGTGGATAATGACGTTTGACTTTGCTGTGGACTGACTGCCAGGTATTGAATACGCAGTAAGGATGGCAGCAGGATAAATGGTTCGCGTCTGCCTTGATACTTTGTTCCAAACACGCATATCGCTGCGCATTACACTCCTCAAAAACACACTGTCATACATCTCCAAAAGTTGCATTGGTAAACGCCATAACCCCTCTAATTCCCAACAAGTGTAACTGCTCTCATTCGTGCGGACATGTACTCCGTCGTTCTATGGCTCCATGTAGGCCCTTCCACCCGCGGGGAAATCGCCTCCTAGGGCAGCATTGGGTGATACACTCATTTTATGTGCGTCATTGGCAAGCGATTGTTGGTTGCCAGATACATAGTAGAGGATACGATTTGCGATGATGGAGAGATGTTCGGGGAGGTATAGCGAAGCGGCGATTATGAGAAGAGAGAGTAGGAGGAACAGCACAGAGTCTGTAGTTGTTATGCGTTAGTTTTTTTGTCTTTCTTGCTTCTTGCGCCATGTCTCCGCCAGAATGGTAAGGGAAAGGGGTGTAGGTGTTTGGCGGTGACCAGAAGCGCACACATGTGGGACAAACGTACTGAAGATGAACTTCTCGGTCGATGTCAACATGTATAGGGAGAAAGTGACTTCATATTGGTATCGCTTGCGCTGGAACCAGCGCAACATGGTCGAGGGATACAACATGGCTGCAAGGAGGAGTGCGGAAGCCGAAGCCAAGAGGACGCCTGTCGCGAGGGATGTCGTGTCAACCATAGGAAACAGTAGTACAAGGTGACTTAATAAAGGGTTCGGCCGAGGGATTTGCGTAAGTAGTTGGGGGGGCGCGGCGCGCGGCGGATTTAGAATGGCATGGAAATCGGCGTAGGTGAGGGAAGGGGAGATTGATCAGTTCAGGGACCGAGCGGATTTGGAGCAGGGGTCCGGCGTGTTGCTCCGCTCGCTCTCCACTCATCTCATGACGCGCACGACAATTTGTCAAATCGCATCGCTGGCCAACAACGCACAACAAAGTTTTCCCCGTGTGTCAATGCTGCTACCACAACATGCTGCCGATGCGTTGTCGCTAGCCTTGAAGATCTGAAAAAAAATGCACCTTCTCCCGCTCATCCCCCGCCTCGCCCTCATCCGCGCATCTCCTTCCATGTGTATCCAACATGCCGCATTCCACAATACCCCTGCGCTCTTCCCCAAAGCTCTTCCGCCACGGCCTGTACTCGATGAATCCGACCTGATAGAGAACTTCCTCAAGGGCTCTGGTCCCGGTGGTCAAAAAATCAACAAGACATCGTCTGCCGTGCAACTGAAGCACATTCCAACAGGCATTGTCGTCAAGTACCAAGATACGCGGTCCAGAGAGATCAACCGAAAGATGGCAAGACGCATCCTGCAGGACCGCATTGAGGAGCTGGAGCTGGGAGAAGATGCTAGGACAAAGGTCAAGGCGAGAGAGAAGAGTAAGAAGAAGGCAAGTGCAGCGAAGAAGTCGAAGAGGAAATACAGAGCATTGGAGGAAGCGAAACAGAGTGGGAAAGAGGATGCTTCTACGGATGTGGATGCTGGGTTGAAAGGGGTGGAAGGTGAGGCTGCTGCACCAGACTTGGTGAGAGGTGGCGATGTAAGCAAGGCCGCAGGTGATTGAAGGCGGAAAGATACAAGAAATGATTCACACCAGAAAAACGCACACTGTTATGTGCTGTTAGACATGGACCCAGCAGGCCTGTAGCCTTTGACAAGGCCGGCTTTGCAGGGCCCGGCCGCAAGACTCGACGTTTCGACGCGCGTTTACAGCAAGCTCACGCGCCTGAGTTGTATAGCTGGAATCAGAGAAGGAGGGACCAAGCAGCAGAAGTCTACACAACGGCGAACAAAGCCATCGCCAGCTGTCGAAGCAGCCTGTCGAGCCAGGCGACACGTCGTATATCTGGCTTCAACGCGTGTCGTAGTACGTGTCCAATATATCCAGCATCCAGGTCTGAGGATACCACCAAGCCTGCCACGCGTTGTGCGCCCAGGCTAGGTGTACATTTCGCCTCCATTCACGTCGTACGCGCTTGCAACGCCACAATCCATCTTCCTCAAGCAACTGGCGGCATGCCAGAAGACCCAATGAAAAGGATAAGAGCATTCGAAGATGCGACCAGCAAAAATTGCCCCGCCGAGATTCCCGAAGGAAGCTCGTGACTTATCCACACCGCGCTGTGCAATGCAGGCGAACGAGTCAGACGACTGAATGCTTGAGCTCAGTGCGTCGCAAGAAGGTAAGTATGAGGAATCGAGAAGGGGACGGGGGATGGGGGGCTTATATACTGGCAGGGAGACGCTAGCCGCTAGCGTGCACGTGACCCAGGCTGCCATCCACCCTGTGGCCGCCAGCCTGATTCATGGACTGGTTCAAAGCGGGGCAAGTGGAGTGAAAGTGTTTGTGCATGTGAGTGTCAACACATCTTTCACGATTGAGAGCTTCAAAGCCTTGTCGCAGTACGTTACAGGGCACCTGTTCAATGGAAACTTATGAACAGGTCGCTATCAATGTGCACAGGCACTTCGCACTGGTCCCTCTCCCAGGGCCACCAGTCCTTCAATCACTTTCCATGTGCAGATTCCTGGCATCTTTTTGGATTTGATTCAATGTCCTCTTCGCTTGGAGTATTTCTTGCAGATACAGGTACCATACAGCCTGTCACTATCGTCTTCAATACTTCCTCCAGAACCCGTTTTGAGCCGTACCTGGATACGGCTGTGCCCAATCCAACAATTTGTCGCGCATTGGCTCTATCCATGTCGATTCTAAGTAGGATTCTCACCCTCAAAAGCCTTGGCTCGTAGTAACAGGTTGAACAAAGTCTCTGACGAGAATAACAAACACCACAGAGCTCTCTTCGGCATATCACTTGATAATAATAACGAAATATGAGTGCGACATGAAAGTTGACTCAAAGCATTGCGTCACCGTGAATGGTGCTCATTCCAGCAGTGTTCATGTACAACCCAGGCTGAGACTACAAACGAGTCCTACACGGTTCACTCCTTGCACTTCTTATGTGTATAAACACCACATATTTCTCCTCCCGGAATCCTTCTCTTCTACAGTGTCGTGAACTGCGCGCCAGTTTCTTGTAACTACGATATTCAATCTTCACTATCTCTTTTCCCAAAGACAAAGTCACCATGAAGTCCATCATCGAGTCCATATCCCACCGCTTGTCTAGCCCTAGCAGAAGCCGCTACAAACGGTTCCCTATATCTCATGACGAACCATCGGTAACTGAAGGAGACGGCACTAACGGCCGAGGATCTCCCGAGGACAACGTCCCACTTCTCAACTTGGATCTCCTGAACATCAAGCCTGAGGATCGCCAGTGGTTCACAGACGTCAATATTGCTGTACGCGACCTCGCAAAAGGTTCAGAAGATCAAAATAACTACGGACACATCCGCCGCATCGTCTCAAACGCCGCTCACATCCTCGATAAAGAAGTGAAGCATCATGAATGGGCTCGCAAACTCGACCCCCTCATCATATGGGTCTCATGCATGGTACATAGCGTGAGCAGGCAGTTGTATAAAGCTGCAGAGAAACCATGCGATCAACTTGATGTCATCGACGACTTCCTCAAGTCTTATGGCTGCCCGCTACCGATTCGTCGCCAAGTAGCCTTCATCACCATACGGGTCACTGTTGAGATCGAAGCGTACGATGTCGGCCCCATGAAGGTGTTTTCGGACGAGTATCCCGCTTACCGCGTGATACAAGATGCGCACTTGCTTGGAGAAATGGGCGCTATTGGCATCGTCCGGTTCTACACGTTCTACGGGACATTTCCACCCGAGCGTTGGGACTCGACTGTGAAGATGGGCGAATTGGTTGAAGACTACTTGAGCCAATATGTGCAAGCTATGAGGACGGAGACTGGGACGAATATTGCGGAGGAGCGGTTGGAGTGGATGAAAAAGGAGTTTCTGCGTCAGTGGGAACGCGAGGCTGATACGAGCAACGTGTAGACTGTGATACTTGAGGTCTCGGGGTACTCATGTTGTACGACAGCGTTCTCGGCTCATTCACATCTCACATGTAATTTCCTACAGTAAAAAATCCAAGCACTGATAGTCTCTGAAAAAAAAAATCAATCTAATTCTTGTAACGCCCGTTACTCCTACATTCCATGTAACATGCACTGAAATCAATCCATACCCCCACTTTCCCATATAAAGCATTCCTATCAATCTCAAAAACCAACAAAAAAGAAAGCAGCCAAAACACCGCTTACAACCCCTAAAGTTACTCCTCCCACTCTACTCATTACACTTCCAAGTAACACTAAACGTGTCCCCATTCCCTGCCAAACACATGTCCAAGCTCGACCCCTCAGTGACCACACACGGCAGCCTCTCCTTACCCTCACAGTAGATTCCCAAGGGATCACTTCCAATACCCACAAAGTCGCAGTTCTTGTAGTCGGAATCCGGAATGTCAAAGCGCTTCGAAAGCCCTACGAGCGTCGATTCCTTGTAAAAGGGAGTGTCGGTGCAGACGTTGAGGGACGAGTCGCGGGGGTTGCGGTATATGACAATGGATTCGGTGCCGTCGCCTGCCGTGAGTTTGCCTGCGTGGTAGACTTGGTCGGCCGGTGAGGGCTGAGGCTGAGGCTGAGGTTCGGGTTCGGGCTCAGGCTGGGGCTCAGGCTGTGGCTCAGGTTGAGGCTCTGGTTGAGGCTCAGGTTCAGGCTCCTGAGGTGGCTCAACGGGTGCGTCGGTGGGCTGGGGATCAGCTGGGGCGGGCACGTTGATTGGAGCGTCGGCTCTGGGGAGCGGACCGTCGCCGTCGACGGGGAAGGGGTAGCCTGGTACTAAACCGTCGGTCAAGTCGAGGGTGCAGGCTGGTGCTTCGATGGTCGTGGTAGTGGTAGAATCGGAGACGCCGCAAGCTGTTGTTGCTGTGCAAGTGGGATCTTTGCATGAAGTGGTTGTTGTAATTCCAAGGTCGTTAGTGCCGAAGCTACATCCTTGTGTACACACATTTGCCGTCTGGGTTTCGCAATCGTTGGGGTCTTCGTTGTTAGGTGGTGGTGGAGGAGGTGTGATGGTTGGATCAATGGGTTCGACCGGGTCAGGCACTGGGTCAGGCACCGGGATTGGGTTCTCAGGATCTGGCACAGGAATGGGGTTGACAGGGTCCGGTACAGGAATAGGGTTTACAGGATCGGGTACTGGAATGGGGATAACTGGTCCAGGAATAGGAATGGGAATGACTGGGTCTGGAACTGGAATGGGATCAACTGGATCAGGCTCTGGAATAGGCTCGACTGGGTCAGGAACCGGAACAGGCTCGACAGGATTGGGTTCCGGAACAGGTTCAACTGGATCGGGCTCTGGGATAGGGTCGATAGGCTCTGGCACTGGGCTAGGATCCGGCAACGGAATCGGGTCTACTGGAGGTGGTAAAGGGATTGGAATGACAGGAAGATCGGGGTCATCACTTGGAGGATCTTCTGGATTATTGTTCGGAGGATCAATGGGTTCATCGGGATTCTCAGGTGGGTCTGGGATAGGTGTAGGCGCAGGAACGATCGGTGTTTCTTCGGGATTGTCGTCAACTGGAGGTGTATCAGTTGGTCCTGGAATAACATCTGTAGTATCGCCTGGTACAGGATCTGGATTGGTGATTGGTATGACCAGTTTCGGACACATGTCATCACTGAACAAGAACACAAAGCCATTGAGGTTGACATTGTTGTCTGCGTTCAACGATAACAAATTTGGACCGATGGTGATGGCTGGTCCATTGGCCTCGATTGTTGAAGTTGCATCATCAGGAAGGCCATTCACAACGACATTGGATGGACCTGGACTAAGAGTGAGAGTTGCCTCTGGTAAATTCACAATCGTCGGGCATGGAGGTGGATTAGCCTGTGGAGCTGGGCGAGCTTCGGCGAGGTAACTGTTTAGAAGAGAGAGAAGGACTGCGGAAGAACAGGAATGATGCATGATGCTAGATGGAAGGAGAGTAGAGCTAAGAATGTATGAAAGGTATGTTGGTTCAAATGATGCTTGATGCACTGGAGATGATGAACATTATATACACAATGTTCTTGCCTTTTTCCTGGAATAGATCCAAGTCCTTGATTGTCCGTTCTTGCTAGCTATCCTCAATCCATCACTGCCATGTTTACTTCGGGCATTCGGGAAAACTCATGGGGCGAGGCGCACAACGCTGCACACTATTTTGGGTGCTCATTGTGGCAGAGAGAGAATGTTAGTATTTTTGTATACACTTGAAACGAAAGTCGCTTGCCTTAAAAGTACCCTGCCCTTGGAAAATGGAACCATTGGCTGTTTCTGGGAAACAAACGCAGGGGTCTTGTAGGATGAGAGGCGTGGGCGGCTAAAGCACCCCGCTGACATAAGAACTCACCACTTGCCCTTAGCAACTTCAACCTGGAGCCTTAACTTTTACTCTTCCATCAAATCCTTTGCACAATTTTAGGATCACTTTGAAACGATATCATGGATCACACAACCGCCGAGAAAATTTACGGCCAGATTGTTGCGGCAATCAAAAGCAAAGACATTGAGGAGTTCGACCGAATAGTCCAAGACAACCCAACCTGGCCCCCGCAGGAACATTGGCTTGGACATCCACACGATGCTGCTTCCCGTTCTGGGCTTCCCATGTTCAAAGCATTCCTCAAGCATTTCCCACAGACCAAGGACTGGGACTGCGGCGAAACTGGCGATGTTGTTGGCGCTGCTGCGATGACGGGCGATATCCCAGTCCTAAAGTACTGCCTGGAAGAGCTTGGACACAATGCTAATGAAGGACGCATCTTCTTTTCTCCAGTAAGTTGCCCGTAGTGCAGTAAATACGAATATCTGAAATAACCCTGGCCAGGTGTTGTACTTTCTCAACTCTATGAGAGATACGACTATACCTGGAAAGAAAGCTGAAGTGATACAAATCCTTGAACATTACGGTGCGACAATGGAAGGAGAGCCTGGCAGTATCATCCATCAGCGGTCGCACAAAAAGCGCAATGGCAAACTGTGCTGGCACAAGAACGACCCGGTAGATTGCCCAGACTACGTGGATGACGAGAAGTCGGGCGTCGTTGAGCAGGCCAAAAAGCTGTTCGGATGGAACAACCCCAGGAGTAGCGTAGAAAACCCTGCTTCTGAAAGCCAGGAAAAGCTGGCCCCTTCTTAAAGGAGTATGTTGGTTTCAAGTATGTAGAATGAAGACGGCAGTTGGACCTAAGCGTTACCATCAATTGAAAGTGCCTTGCCATAATTAGATGCAGTGTCCTGAATTTAGAGTGAAAATGCGTGTAAAGAAACTGCATGGTGAGGCCCCAGTAGATACTTCCCCAACACTATCCTTGCCGCTAATGAAACGGCTTGCCTGATTTCATGGGGGTGGCTTGGTGGTAAGCTTCATAGATAGAATCAGTATACAGTCTTCAGCGCTTACAGAGAAGGAAAAAAGAGCATATAACTACATCTGAATATCTTCCTGAATTCCCATCAGTACACTGTCTCCAATCTCCTTAGCAACATCACCTTCATTCACTTTTGTCTTTCATTGCAGTTCGTCTCATTCTTAGCACAACATGAGGTTCCAGTCTCTTCTTGCGTTCCCCGTCTCTCTCGCAATTCTCTGGAGTGCTGCTGGTCCGTTTACTAACGCAGCACCCGCTCCTCTGCCTCCTGACGCTGGTAAGTATTATAAGCTTTTCTATACTCCTACATACTAATACCAGCAGTTACAACGAACATTGAGCTCCCTAGACATGTTGAGCATATCTTATACGGTTCAGGTGTCGAAGATGTCAATGTCACCACCAATCATCTCGTTCGCCGCGGTTGCTTCCCCAGCAAAGAAGTAGAAGATGATATAGGCCCTACGACATGCGATGGTAGCGTTCCCCCGCTCGAGGAATTACGAACTCAAATCCAACGGTGGGGCCAAGTAGCTACTAGAAGACCCGCCTTTTATACTTCTCTTGGAGCAGGCGGGGCGATCAAGACAAGCAAATGCTGGGTCCAAACACACCCTGACCTGATTGCGCCGGTCCCCAACCCGCCGGATAACCTTGGCGCGGTATTCTTTGATGATATCGTGGACAAACGTTACGAAGCAGTCGTCTGGCCGGCAATGAGCGCGGGCAGACAAGTCAGCTATCAGAAGTTAATCAGCCAGGCTATGGCTATGGAGAGTCAAGGAGAAGTGTGGATCTTTACGAAAGCCGATGTAAACTTCGATGCGCTCGACCCAGACAACACATGGTAAGTCATTGTTATTAGTTTGAAGGCATAGTGATATGCAGCTGACAGAATACTACAGGAAGAACTGGGAGCTCCCAGCACTCACCCGCAATGACAAGGTGGACAGGATCCTCCGCACAGACCCCACTGATGGAAGTGACCCGCCAATCATCCAGGAGATTTGGAAAAGAGGCGATCCACCCACGGCCAATGAGCCACGAGGGTTGGTAGAATTTTGAGTTGTTGTCTTGGAGAGAATTGGAGTGCCAAATTCGGGTAGTTTTGTGGGTTCAGATTGGAGGAGGTTTTGTTTGGCGGTCAGGCGTTCATGGTGTCATGTCTATTTTTCGCAACATTAGAATGCTAGAGGGGTACATACTACATATTGCAAGCCACAACAGTATTGATCCGCTGGACATATACGAGTGGTAATACGTCACCTATGGGAATCTCGTTTGGCGTCCTGTGTCTCCTTTTTCTTGAAGTTTGGGCTGCTAAAAATAGACGTTCGGAGTGGGGCGAGCTTCCACCTTGCACCGATATCCACTCAGGCGCGCTAATTATACTCCACAACTAAGTAAGGTAATAACGGCCAGTGCTAAGCCTTGACGGCTTTTCTTCACCCTCTCATGTCGTAGGTGGCGAACTAGTGCTTCGGGATTTCAGCAACCAAATTACCGGAGTTCTAATGCGACCGACGGCATCGTGTCGCGCGTGTTCAAAACACATCTAACGTGTCTTCCAGCAAAATGTCCACACGACAAGATTCTCCATGCTGTACAACATTGTGGCTTTTCTCTAGACATGTCGTGGCCATTTTGTTTTTTTTTCGACGAGGACCAGGGATTACTTTTCGTCACGGCTATCCGTGCCGTGGGCTCGGCGAAGTAAGCTCGTATTAGGAGCTAGGCCGCCCATTAGTTTGCGATGGGTACAATGCGCGCTGCCTTTAGCAATCAGAATCGGGTGCTGGCTCGTGGAGTAATAGATGAGATTTTGTCGTATCTGGTGGATCGACGACAGGGCATAAGCCTGACGCAGGTACACACGACTACGACAAGGAGGCGACTACCACCGCAGATTAGCTGTTTAAAAGCACCCTTTCCCTCTGGGCAAATCTTCTTCCTCACGGCCTTGACAATCACATTTTAGTGTGGGCATCGTGCGTTCCTCCGTCGAAGCCGTTGTTTCCTTAATTTGTTTACTTTTCCCCACCCCTGGTTGGGGTAATATCTTGCTGACGGTAGGATCAATACTTAATTCTCACATTGCGCCATCCTCAACGGTACAACCTTAATTCTTTTTCCTCCACCAGGATGAAGTTTCTCATTCCTCTTGCCGTGGGCCTAGTCGCCGTATCGGCCACGCCCACCGCAGTGCTAGACAGGAGGGACGTCTCAACTGACGGATCATGCGGCGGAACTGCCGGTCTTACATGCAAGGGTTCTGCGTTTGGAGATTGTTGCTCGCAATACGGCTATTGCGGAACCGGTTCGGCATGGGTGAGTAGTTTGTGGAATGCAACACAACTTCGAGGCTAACAGCGGACAGTGTGGAACTGGATGCCAGTCTGGCTTCGGAACGTGCGACGATGGTAGCAGCAGCCAGCCCTCGCCTTCGCCCTCAACTCCGGTCCCTTCACCGGTGGCAGCACCTGAGGGCCTCGTCAAGTGTTTGAATGGAAAGGAAGTGCCCTTCAAGATGAGCAGCGACGAGGAATACGCACAGCTTGCAAAGCCTTACAACTTGCGCGTACCCTTCAACCCTGCCGTCATTGTCCTGCCAACCACTGAACAGCATGTCCAAGATGCTGTTGTCTGCGCTGGTGAGCAAGGAATCAAGTGCCAAGCCAAGTCGGGTGGTCACTCATATGCCAACTTCAACACCGGTGGTATCAATGGCGCCATGCAGATCAACCTTCAGTCTTTCCAGACTATTGAGCTTGCCAATGATACTGGCATTGCAACTGTTGGAGGCGGTGTTCGCCTAGGTAACCTCGGTGACGGAATCTATAACCAAGGCAAGGCTGCTCTCGCTCATGGTACCTGCCCTGGCGTAGGCATCGGAGGCCACTATACCCATGGAGGTTACGGTCAAACTTCCCGTAACTGGGGTCTTGCTATGGACCAGATCGTCGGTGCTGAGGTTGTTACCGCTGACGGTAAGCTCGTCAAGACGTCAGCCACTGAATCGCCCGACCTCTTCTGGGCTATTAGGGGTGCTGCTGATTCGTTCGGTATCGTCACCAAGTTTTATCTCCAGACTCATGCTGCCCCAGACAGCATTACGTACTTCTCGTTTGGGTTCCAGGGTGTTCAGGATTCCAAGGATGTCTGGACCAAGACCTTCCTCCACCTCCAGGATGTAGCTACCAACAGCTCGGTTGTGGATAACCGTATCTCGTTTGGTGTTTACCTTGACGGCTACAAGAGCTACAGTCTGAGTGGCGCCTTCTTTGGCTCTGTCGACGAATTCAACAACAAGATCAAGCCTGAGCTTCTCCGTGGCCTCCCTACACCTTCCAGCCCCTCGGTTGAGTCCTTGGCCTGGTATGACTACCTAGTCAAGGTTTCCGGCCAGACGACCATCAAGGTATCCACAACTGACTACGACGAGCACGAAGACTTCTTCGCCAAGTCTGTAACTGTCCCCGAATCCAGCGGTCTTACATCCGAGGCCATTGGTGCGCTTTATGACCACCTTCAATCTGCTACTTCTCAAGAATGGTACATCATCATGAACCTGTACGGTGGACCCGGCTCAGCCATCAACAAGAAGGACATTTCTTTTGCCGCCTACGATGACCGCAAGAGCCTGTGGGTGTTCCAGAACTGGGGCTATGGCGCTACACCCATGGATTTCATCAACGGCATCAACGATGCTATCATCAATGCTGAGCCTCAGACAAATTTTGGCGCGTACCTGAACTACGTTGATCCCACGTATGATGCTGCCACTGCTCACAAGCTATACTATGGTGAGGAGGTGACAGCGCGCCTGACCGAGCTCAAGGCAAAGGTCGATCCCAAGGGTGTCTTCTGGAACCCTCAGGCCATCGGTGCTTGATTGTATGGGAGAGATGGAATTCTAATACGATTGAAATATCATAAACGAACAATTCTTCATGCCCTCATGAATCATATTGCTGTTTAATTATCGCGCGTCTTAGTCGTGCGTGTATTACCTAGAGGATAAAAACAGGACCGTCAAAAGGAAAAAAAGTGTAATATTGTTTATACACGTCTCCATGTCGATGATTGGTTGCATGTGATGCTGCTGTACAGGTTGTACTATTCCCTAAGGGAAAGTTACACACGTTCTGCGAATTAATGCTGCTTTGTCTTGCAAGGAACACGAGGCGCAAGCGAATTCCGCCAGGATCCTGTATGATATCCACCTAAACACTTATCCTTTGATCTCAACTTTTGCTGGCTTGAAACAAGTCTGGCAGATCTCCTTTTCACCCTCTTTAATCACGGTTTTCTTTTCAGACGAGATTATTTAGGGCCCCCAGTTTCGGTATGTTGCATGATGGTTGTCGGGTCCGTTCCCTTGGCCCCACATTGCGGTGATGAACCATTAACGGCTGTTTGGTGGACTATTCAAGGGACATTATTGAAGCACCCAGGTATTCCTAGCATGAAAGGAGCGGGCTGTGGCGGTCACCCAACAGGCAGCGTGTTGAGAAGATCAAGTGGCTGAACACCTGAGCAGTGCATAATCCGAACGCACCAATGAAACATTTCAAAAGTTACATCTGCTGCCACCCCTGTGCTTTCCTTCTCTGTTTTCATCATTCTCTCTCGACTCCATCTTTCATAAAAGATTTACGTCTGGAGATTAAAAAAAAGCCACAGGTGTTATGCATTCTGCTGGGGTGTACAGAGAAATTGCCCCCTAAAAAAAACAGCGGTCAGGATTACGATTTCCCTTAGTGTCCAATGGTAAAAAGCTGTACAACGAGTTGGGAACGGCGTTGTTTCGGCCGCCGGTTGTATGCAAGCCTTTTATTGTTCCCTCTTGGGATGACGTTTAACAATCAGCTGAGGAAGCGGCTTTGCTCTGTTCGGCACCGGTAGCGGCTGCGGCTTCGGCAGTAGCGGGCTCAGCGGCAGATAAGGCTTGGTAGTACTCTGGGTCCGGGTTGAGCAAGTGGGCAGGAATTCCTGAGACGAGTGGGAGGGTATACTGATGCTTGACATCCGGGTCCGTATTTGACGGGTTGAGCTGCATGAGCAAGTCTGCCTCTTTGATACGCCTGAGTACATCCTTGACGTCAGTTCCCATCTTGATGCGGCGCAGGATCTCGAGCGACTCATCGTCTGGCCTTGTCTTTATGAGATTGAAGAGTTCGGCGTAGGCTTCGTTTTCAGCGTGCAGGGCATCGTATTTTCGCTTCAGCGCTTGGCCCTGGGTTTCCGCTGAGCGAGTGGCATAGTGGCAGGAGGTGGAGCGCTTCGTGCACTCGAGACACACGGGACGGTCTCCGTTGCATCGTATTTTGCGTACTCGACACTGGTCGCAGGCCGACGCGACGCGGTCTCGCGGCAGCGGTGGAAGGGGCTCGTTTCGTGGTCGCGTGGCTGACGGGAGGAGTGGTCGCAGAGGTCGCATGTTTCGGCAAACGGGTCTTGCGCTGGCAATGGGCGGACGGGATTATTTTTGTTTACTGATCTCGAAACTTGGAGATGATTAGACCCGGATCCCAGAGACCGAGTTTCTAAATATCTATTACCCATGGTTATGCAGTCTTTGGATAGCGTAAAAGGAATTTTGATTGTCGATTGGGATACGGCAATTCGTCCCGCCAATCAGATGGCTCCATTTCCTCATTTCCAAGTAGACGTCAGCCATTGCCTGCGAACTGTCTCTTTTTCCTTTTGGGGCAATCTACCACGGACACCTTGTCAATACGCTTCGAGTCAAACTTTCAACACGTCCTGACTTGCATGCTCGCGCTCTCATAACCCGCGATGATATGTTGTCCCTTTTCTTTCCCAGCCAATTCACTGCCTCTGCCCTCCATGGTGTGTGTTTCACTTCCCTGTAGATTTTAGTGGAGGGTTGCATAACTAACAGGCGCATGCAGAAGCCCACTGTTTGCGGCTTCTTTCCATGCAGGATATTTGTCGTTGATAATTGTGGCTGAGTGGACCATTTTTCTTCACTCGATTACGACAGTGACTTGCGGCTTTGCAGAGCCCGCATGGCTGTCTGATGATGGCCCAACACCCGACTTGGTCGTCCGACGATACTTACATTAGTAGCATTAGGTCTTTGTTCCCGCGTTAAGCGCGCACCAAAGGTTCTTGCTGGCTCCGAAATTCACTCGGTATTGAAGACAGCTACCAGCGATTACAAAACGGCAAGACATGGCCGCTGCCTTTGTTCCAGATCCAATTTCAATGGTTCACAGGAGCACGTAGCGTGTGGAGATACGCGACCGCACTTGGGATGCTAATCACGGACAACCGTGCGTCCGCTAAATGTATAAACTGGGCATGTCACGCAGCACTCATTCATTGGCTGGATACTCTTCCGGGTGTCCCTGTACATTTGGCTTTGTAAAGTCTAGTAACACGTTTGATTGAATCGCTCTACTTCCAGGCCTTTCCCGTCTGCACTTGACTCTATTCTCGTTGGACGCGATCTCAGAGATTTCTGGTAGACACTGGGCCTAGTGCCGCAATACCCGGCCAACATTGTACGATGGTGTCTTGCATATCATTCGACCCGTCTGCATTCATCGGTCAAGATGCGCGAGTTTCAAAGTGGTGTGATACCAAGGACAAACATGGATTCCGAGCGATCGTCAGAGCTAGAGTCTATTCGCATCACGAAGGTCTGCTGTCGGACTATAAGGTGAGCATGGTGGAGTGGCTTCCAGTCCAATTCCACCTTCAGTATTTTGGAATGACTGATTTGCCATCGTGTAATGAAAGCTTAATTCACTCCATGCTAATCAATGTAGCTCAAAGTTCAAGCGTGTTTCCTCTTCCCATTCCTTTGCAAATTGTTTTAGGACATCATGTCTTCTCCTCGCCATTTCTTTACCAGTAGTTGTCTTCATCATTCCTGCGAGATTGTATAACTTTTCGCCAAAATGGCTGACCGCTCTGTCCATGGGCTGCCCGGGGATCTTTGCTGCACCAAAAGAGAAGCATCGCGCTATTCCAACGGCACCAATGGCGTCGAGGCGATCGGCGTCTTGCACGATAGCGAGCTCCGGATACCGCCCAACCACTGAAGTGACGCGAGCAGGGTCGCGAACCTCGTTCGTATAGGAAACGTTCTTTACAATGATCTGGACCTTTTGGGCCAGTTCAATTGATGCGCCGTGTTGAAGTAGTGTATTGGAGATTTGGTTCTCGATGTCTTCGCCTGATTTTGCATACTTGTGATCGCCAACGTCGTGCAAAAGGGCGGCGAGGAATAGTGAAGTGGTGTCATAAGCCACAGAGGGGTTGGACTTTAGCTCGGTCTGTAATATTTGGTTGGTGTTGGACAAGACGCGCAGGATGTGTTGGTAGTCGTGTGAGTTGTCGTATTTTGACATGTACTCGTGGACGAATGAATTGATTGATGCAAGAAGCTTCTTGTCGCTGTCCTGAACGGGTACCTGCGGAACAGGGAGAGTAGTCTGACCGTTACTCGCCATGGTGGAAATAGGACCAGTTGCTTCGTGTTCGTGTAGTATGTTCTTGTACTCAGATGAACGCGTGAAGATGGGATTTGTGTTTTCTTCTTCGCATAGTCACGTGCCATGCAGCCCTATCCCTAAGCCACATTTAGTGGTTTTCTCTTTAGGCAGACGTGCTACTGTGTGCCGACTTGTTACAAATGTGCAATTGATCAGATGCAAGCAGAAGAGAAAGAGGATACGATTGACGGCCATGTGCAACAATGAAAGAGCCGAACTCGGTATATGGCGGAGACACCCCATTGTTCTTCATTCATTTTGGCCACTAGCAATACCCATGAATTGGAATGTGTTGAACTTTGAAAACGGCTTGTATAACCTGGGCGCAATGTCTTGTGGGGTGGGAGCTGCAACGATGTTGCGGAGGCGTCATCTGGGGTAGTAGCCGTAGGAGCCTCGGTACTTTGCCCGGCACGCGATAACGAGTCCATGACTTCACCCTGCCCCGACTCCTGTCCTCACGTGCATACACCAACACCACGACGTACACGTCGCACAAGCGCCACCTTTCAGCGCGCTGGCTGAGGCGACTGCAGCCATGTACAAGCAAGCAACACAGAAGACGGGCGAGGTACTGTCACTGCCACCGAGATGGCTGGGCATGTACTCGGACTTCATCACCAAAAACAGTAGCGCTGTGACGCAGATTGAGTCTGCGCTGCGTTCGCTGACATATATCATTCCGGGTGCGCATGGCTCAATGGGACTACTTGCTAGCACGATACTAACAAGACCTAGGACGCTTCCGGGAATCCGAAATCGCATCAGAGTCTCGTATGTTGCGCGCTCGTTGGCGGCGCGTCTCCTTCGACTGACACACGAATAGTTCACAGCGGCGTCCAGGTCCTTTCCCTATACCACGATTCTCTCCTCTCTAAGGCCATGGCGCAGATGCCAGGGACGCGACGACACCCTGTCACCCCGCACCATCGATACACCAAGTTCTGGACACAACACTCGCCCACGTACAAGCGAATCGCGCTAGTACTCCAGATGATTCAATATACCGAGTTGCTATGGGAGATGGCAGCCAAGAGGAAGGGTGAGAAGGTGCGATGGCGGGTTGTGGTGTTGCTCGAGGTAGTAAAGGCAGTATGCCGATTGCTGCTCCTCCGACTGACAAACTCGCGCCCTCTCCTATCACCCCCGCTCCCTCAGCGGGAAATTGATCCGAGCTCGCTTGAAGAGTCATCGGCATCGGTGGATGGCATGGATACACCACCAAGCGAGCGTTCGGTTGAGGCAGAAAACTGGGCAATGCCCAGGACTGGTCTGTCGATGCCTAGCTTGCCAGATTCTTCAGACATTTCGAGTTACCTCCTCTCCAAGGTGCTTACAGCAGACGACATCAAACCACCAAAGGCGCTTCTGCACCGAGTAAGTGGAAAGGGCGAGCTTGCCGAGGTACTCTACATTCTACGACCCGTTGCCTACGCCTTGGCCATGCAGCACTTCAGCGGCGACAGGAAGAGCTGGCGGCCATGGTTGATTGGCGCGAGCATCGAGTACGGTGCACGCCAGCTGGCAAAGAATGATTTCCAGGAGCGCTTGGCTGGAGGACTCCGTGGTTTGACTGGCCTAGAGAGAGAAGAGCTACGTAAGCGGGGCTGGTCCATGGGTTGGTGGGCTATGCGCGGCGCATTCTACGAGAACATCACCAAGTAAGTGAGGCCGAATTGTGGACATGGTGAACATAGCTAACAGTGCACCTAGGGCCTGGATTCACTCGATAACGTCCAAACTCAAGGGCAAGCCTCTTCTTGACATGGTCGGTGGTGTTATCGAAGACTACGAGTTTCTCTGGGATCAGTACTACTTCCCCACTGCTACTCTATGATCTGTTTTGGCTACGTGTGGTTTGATATGATGTGCCAATGCTTGACACGGAGCTTTAGTGTCACGGAAATGGTCTTGCAGCCCCACTTCCTGTCGTATTTGCCTTTTATTTTGTCTGTTTTGGTTGTATTCTTTTTCAGATACTCCAAGGCCATTGCACGGTCTTGGTCCAGTTTGCGCTTCTGTTCTGCAGGTCTGCAGTATGTACTAGTATGCCTTGTTGAGATACCAATGTTTGAAATGTTATGTGGTTTCGGTCGCTGCGAGTGCTGTATACAAATGTGACTGGGACACTATGCATAGTAATTCCGGGTGTTGGTTGTGTCGGGCGAGCTATGGTAGTGCGGAGCTCTGACCCACTCACCATCTCGCCATCCCGAAAGCTTAGTACGTAGATGGTCATCGCAGAGCCGCATCAACAATAACGACATCATCTCGCCCGGTCAACACCCACCACTGCCATCTTCTTTCCCAGACAACCAACAGAAACATTGGGTACACTGGGTTACAGGTCATCAGGATGCCCGCCACTACAGCAGAAACGCTGTCGCTTGTGACCCGCAACGTCTCGGTCGCGCCTCTCGTGCTTCTTTCGGCAGCAGACCACTACGGTCGACAAGCAAAGGGCACCAAGAGGAGAGTAGTCGGTGTGCTCCTTGGGCAAAATGACGGCAAGAACGTACGCGTGTCCAACAGCTTTGCGGGTGTGTAGCCCCTCAAGACGTAGTTTGCCGCCTGAGCAATTCGCCCCGAGGGCGGGGAAGCGTTGTGTGTACAAGCTGACTTTGGGCTGCAGTACCATTCGAGGAAGACGAAAAGGACCCATCGGTATGGTTTCTGGACCACAACTACGTCGAGTCGATGAACGACATGTTCAAGAAGATCAACGCGCGGGAGAAGCTCATCGGCTGGTATCACACTGGGCCCAAGCTGAGGGCGTCGGATCTCGAGGTCAACGAGCTGTTCAAGCGCTATACACCAAATCCGCTACTAGTCATTATCGACGTACAGCCCAAGGAGGTGGGGGTGCCGACAGACGCCTACTTTGCAGTTGAGGAGATTAAGGATGTGAGTGCATTTGGCTCGGCGGGGTTATTGTTGCAACAACAGCAATGCACCTGGTGGGAGGAGAGGGGGGGGGGGCGTGTATGGAAGACGATGCTAATTCTACGTCTAGGACGGTACAACGACTTCCAAGACGTTTGTGCACACTCCGTCAATAATCGAGGCCGAGGAGGCGGAAGAGATTGGTGTCGAGCACCTCCTCCGTGACATCCGCGACGTGGCTGTCGGTACGCTCTCGACACGCATAACCTCACAATTGCAGTCGCTGCAAGGGTTACATCTACGGTTACGAGACATTGGGCAGTATCTACAAAAGGTTCTCGACGAGGATCTACCTGTCAACCACGCGATTCTTGGTAATCTCCAAGACGTGTTCAACCTGCTGCCTAACCTGTCGACACCCAAGGCTGCACCAGTAGGTGGTGCAACCAATGGCGTGGGAGCAGCGGCGGGTCAGGCAGGTGGTGTAGACAATGGCGAGCTTGCGCGGGCCATGAGCGTCAAGACGAACGATCAACTCATGGCGATTTACCTGTCGAGCTTGATCCGGGCCATTACGGCGTTCCACGACCTGATTGAGAACAAGATCCAGAACAAGCAGCAAGCAGAGGACAAGGAGGCCAAGAAGGAGGAAGGCAAGGAAGGGGACAAGGAGGCTAAGAAGGAGGGCGACAAGGCGAGCGGTGAGGCCAAGGAAGGAGACAAGGGTAAAGAAAAGGGCAAGGAGGAGGGCAAGAAGAAGGGCTGAAGCGGGGGGAATGGGGAATTGAGTGAGTGAGGCGAGTGAGGCGGAGAGATGGCCATGAGGATGATGGAGCTTTGTAGCCAACTAAGGTGTACTAGTGTACAATAGCCCCTCGCAGCCTTGTTTCGGGGGGAAGGAGAGGAGAAGAAGAGAGTAGGCGTCAAAAGAGTAGATGGAGTGGTGTGTTTCTCTCTCTCTTTCTTTCTCTCTTTCTCTCTCTCTCTCGCTTCCTTCTCCGCATGATCTTGGCACGATTAGACATGAAATGAACAAAGGACATGATGTTAGTATGCTATAGTGTAGTGTGGTGTGTGTATTTGCATAATCTTGGCATGACAATGGCCATTAGTGTTTGTGTTTGAAACGAGGATTAAAAACAAAGATGGCGATAATGCCGTATTGTCTCTACATCTGTCTAAACAAAGATATTTTTTTTTCAGTCTCCCCATCCAGCAGCCCAGCCGGCGGCCTCATGCACGGTAACCCATTTCTCATTGACAAAGCGACCGAATAGGGAGTTTGACTTTTCCGCGAGCAGGCAAGCCAGCAGGTGTTTGCAGACGGGGGGCATATCGTCGCCTAGTGTTGTACCGCCAAAAATCCAGGGGTGGTCTTGTGCTGTGTCGTTATCGTCATGGTTGTCATTGGCATGGTTAGCAAAGGGAATAGAGGAAGAGTCGGGGGAAGCAGGGAAGGCGGCGAAGGTGAAGGCGGGACAGGAGCAGGACCAGGTTGTGAGGCGGACTTGGTAGGTTGGGGTTTGGTCCGAGGAAGAGGAGTAGCGGGAGGAGCGGTGGTGCTGGGCAGATTGGACGTAGTAGATTGTTGATTTTGTGGTCTTGTCGTAAGTAGAGGTTGTAGTTGTGACATGTACAGGTATTGATGTTGCTTCTTCATGAGGGAGGGAGGTGTGTTTTGTGCTAAGTGTACGCGTTGCGTCTTTGAGGGTTGCATCGTCACTCATGTGCATCTCTTCATCATCATCATCATCATTATCATGGTCGTCGTCACCGCCTAGTCGCATCACCGCGTCTTGATGGTGGACTCCATCTTGCCGATGCACAGAAGGAGACGACGGATGGTTTCGGATGCGAAATCGAGTGACTAGGCGGCGGTCGAGGACGTCTAGCGCGGGAATGAATTCGGTTGGGAAGAGGACTTGCAAGGAAAGCAGCTGTTTCTTGACGGCGGGTGGTACGCTATCGAGGGGGTTGGGGTGGTGCTTGTCGTCGTCGGTGAGCGAGGCAGCGGCATCAGGTGATGACGGGGCTGGTGGTGGTGCTAGCGAATTGAATAGCCGGGTTAGGAATCGACGATTGGTGGGCAGTTTGGGCAGAGACATTGCGGGTGATTATCGGTGTGGGCACATGGTGTGTAGAGTAGGGCCCCTTATCGTGGTGGTATGACGTATGTGAGGGGGAACGGCACGGCGATGGTGGCAGGTCGCGTTGAGATGGGGGCAACGCTTGGTCCCCGAAAGCACGTGAAGGCATGGCAGTAGTAGTGCATGTGCTGACAAGTCGACATGGCATTGACTTCATCACTACCAGAAAAAAAATGGCGACATGGGCGGCAGGGGGGCTTGCGTGGTCGGACATGTCATGTCAGATTGATGGGGGAGAATGGGCTACGTCACGATGCGGCGAGGGCAATTGGATCGGAAGGGCCTAGAAGGTGGGCAATTGTTTTTGTTTGCGAGTACGTAGACATGTATACGTACCTTTTGTACATGTGTACCTGTGCGATTGATTACCGTGGTTGTGCTGGCGATCGGGCGGATGGGCTATTTTAGGCAGAGGCGACGTGGATGGGGCGAGGATGCAATTGAAGCGAGCAAGCACACGCAGACGCACAAGCAGGACAAGCACAAGCAGCAACAGCGGGCTTTGCTTGTTGTGCTCGCAGGTGGCAGGTTGCAGGTTGCAGGTAGGGCGGATGCAGGGACCCCCAAGGCGTCGCATCATCTGGAAGAGAAGACGGGGCAGCGAACGACGGGATCATCTGGCTGCATTGGCCTATCGGCTGACCAGCTGTCAAGAGTGGATATTGTCGACGAGTGCAGATCGGGCCGCTAGTCCAGAGAGGAGGGATTGGGTAGGGAGCCATTGCAATTGACGGCCGTGGTGCATTGCATTTCGGGGAGCGCCGAGTCAGCAGCAATGGGGGGGATGCATGCGGACACTGAGTATGACATGGCAATGCGCACAATGGCAGCGAAGACAATTGATATGTGGGCATGGATACGAGGCCGTAAGTACAGGAGTACAGAAGAGCAAAGACGATCAAAGGACAACCAAGGCCCGGGCAGGCCAGCGGCGGGAATTAGCGGGCGCGTGTCGAAAGGGGATGCCTTGCAGCGCGAACCCCTCCTCCCCCACAGCGCGATAACGACGATAACACACCCGCTCGCCAGGGTGGCTGCCACGGCCGCATGAGCATGACCCCCCCTTCGCCCTTGGCCCACGACGCATACACACCACCCTCGCAACATGGTGTCGACAGGGCTGCGTCTCGTGAGCAGCCTTGGGTTGCCATGGGTTGGGATTGTCCGCCTGGAATAGGCGCCGGGCTGTGGATGACCTCGTCGGCTGTCCAGCTGAGCGTGACGGTAGGGCCTGGGGGGTGGGAGGAGGCTTTCACATGCAAGACGGTGGCGCTGGCTACAGCGCTTGGGAGAGAAAGACGTCGACGGCAAAGAGAGCAGGCCGGAGGGGGAGAGCAGGCAAAGTCACAAGACCGTGGCTACGACGACTAGAATGGAATTCCGTGGGCAGCAGCTTTGTCGGCAGCCGCCGCTGACGGGCGACCAGCAGGGCCGCCCTCCCCCTTGGCCATGCTCGCCATGGCCGTCGTCAGCCACGGGGCCAAGACAGGCAGTTGGTGTGAATTGGCCTTGCAGCCATGGTCATGTCTGCACAACCCCCCATGGCGGTCAGACCGACTAGCCGCATGTACGGTACTCGGGCAGGATAGCAGCTGGCCTAGTCGTAGACAAAAGGGCAGCCGAGTGTGATGACGGACGCCCGTGTGGCCCAGCGCGTCCACCGGAAGCCGAGAGAGGGTGGGAATGTGCCATTGCAGGCTCCCACACGCCCGTCGGGCCTTGTCCGCGCACACTGGCGGGCGGGTCGAGGGGACAATGGCAAAAGCAGCAGCGCTGGCGGGCTCAATGGGCTGCTGGGCGGGCGCAATGGGCGGAAGCGCGCGAGGGCGTATGGAGAGGGCAGGCACTTTGTAATTGCCTGGATGGATGGAGGAGCGGAAATGGGGCATGCTGTACTGAGAGATTACGGTTACGGGGGCCGTCACCGCCCAGCCGGGGGGGGCGCATAGGCAGAGGCCGTGACGGCTCTCTCTGACTGCAATGTGCGCCCGGCATGTCGGCTGGCTGAGGGCATTGGTCAGCCTCGCCGCTGTTCTCTGCTCGCTGTCGCTGTCCGCTCCCGGCCGCGCGCGCCTGGTGGGCGAGGGTGAGGGGGCTTGAGGGCAGCCATGGCATGGGCTGGATCGCACCATGGCACGCGCCAACCGCACACCCTCTTTGTCTGGTCCGCTAGCACATGGCCGCCAGTCTGTCTCAAAGCCAGAGTCACACCGGCCTGGCTCGCATGCTGTAGCCTGCTTGAAACCGCTGCCCCAAGCCGCCTGCTGGCTGGCTATAACTCCGTCCGGTTTCGGCAAGATTGGCTTGCTCCAGATGCGAATGAATTGATTGCCATTGCAATTCACCCAGCCTCCATCGCGTCCTGCTCGCACCTGCTGCATTGCTTCTGGCCGCTCCCCGTCCTCGTCCACGTCCTCGTCCACGTCCACGCCCGGCTCCGACTCCATATCTCCGCACTGCCACGGCCACGGCCACGGCGCTCTGCTGGAGTCCATCCTGACCTGTCCTGCGGTTTGACTAATAATCGCCCTGCCCGCCCCAATTGCATAAGCCGCTGCTTCGGGCAATTCTGCCGCCTTCCACGCTCAACCTTCGCTGCCTGCTGCTTTCTGACGATATAACGGTGGCAACGCCGTACGCTCGTCCCAGGGCCCGCCCACAGTCGGCTCTGCTACTTGCTCCATTTCTCTCCCCCTCCCTCCCCCAAACCCACTGCTGCTGCTGCTCCCCAGCCTGCTGCTCTCGCTCCCCCCTTCAAATACCGCTACCGCCGCCGGGGGCATTCGCTTCTAGTCAAAGCACAAACCTTCTGACCACACTACGCAATGGCAAACTCGCCTCATAAGACACCCCCAACTGCCCGCCTCACCGTCTCTTCCCTCCTTTCCCCCCCAGAGATGAAGCGATCAGAGTCGTTTGGCTCGTCAATTGCCTCTGCCTCTACTCAATCGCCCGCAACCTCGTTCAATTCAGTCCAATTGAAGCCCATGACAAACGCCTCTCTCAGCGCCTGCCAGGCAGCAACTCACCGCATCGCCTACGTCTCCCCCCCAATCTCGCCATACGACTCCCACTCCCAAAAGGACACCATGGACGCCGTCGCCGAGCCCGGCTCACGCGACCCTCAGCTCTTCGTCGCCCACGACGCTGCCCTCTCCGTTGCAGACATACCGCTCTTCCCCCACGACTCAGCTGCCTCTTCCTCGTCGTCAGCCTCGCAAGACGCCATCACCCACCACATGCAGTCGCACGACTATGCACGCCTGCACTCCAAACCCTCGCGCGCCGATTACGAATTGGCCGTTTCATTCCGCTCAAACGTCTTTGCTTCGGCCACCAAGAACCCCCGACACTGGTGGGCCCAGGAGCGTCGTTTCGACGACTACTACGGTCGCCCGACTGGCGTCCAAAAGCGCACCGCTCTCAAGAAGCTGGCTCCCGCACCATCCGTTCGAACCCGCCAGCCAAAGGTCGCTCTTCCCCGGATACCCCCCCGTACTCCTCGCGCTCCAAAGGCCAAGCGCAGCCCCCTTGCACAGGTCTACGAGTCATTTGACCCTGCACCAAAGCCCGCATCTGTCTCGGTCTCTCCCAAGCCTGCCCGGCCCGCCACGAACCGTGACGACTCCGACTACAATGCCATCCCCGACTATTCGCCACCTCTCGACACCCTGCCCAAGGGCAACTCCAAGATTCTCAAGGCTGAGTGGAAGGGCCAGGCCCTCTCGCTCGCCGACGATCCCGACCGCGACCTGCTGCACGAGGCTGAACTCAACCTTGCAGGCACCCTGCGTCTCAACTGTGCCACCTACCTCACCAGCAAGCGTCGCATCTTCCAGGCTCGCATTGAAGCATTGAGAATTGGCAAGGAGTTCCGCAAGACCGACGCCCAGCAGGCCTGCAAAATCGACGTCAACAAGGCCAGTAAACTGTGGCAGTCGTACGATCGCGTCGGCTGGTTTAACCCAGACTACTTCCGTCAATACCTTTAGAAGAGCCTTCACTACCATTCTCGCCACACATATACACTCACACACACACATACATACACAGAGTCACGGCACTTTTCTATTATTATCTGCCTCCTTCGATGGAGAGCTTTTTGTTTCCACGATGCCCCCAATTTGCGCATAGCATCGTTACGGCCCCAGCTGCATGAGTCGGTTCTCCTTCCGAGTTGATTGATGCGACACTTGTCGCTCTCGGCATGATTTTACGAATGGCGTTTTCCATCCCTGTCTCTTTTTTTCTTCAAGGGTCTTTGTTTGTTGGCATGGGTAGGCGTTAGGGACCGGCCGCCGTCCTCCCTTTGGCGTTTGTGTCTTTGTTCTTCCTCCTGTTGTTGTGACTCGTCATCTTCTTTGTCTACGGCATGCGATACCCCCCCAGCTCACACGAATTGATACTCTACAGATCTCTTCAATGGCTCTTGACGCCGCACATGCAGGCTTTCCTTTTTGGTAGTATTAGACCAGAATACAAATACTTGTTAGATACACGGTGTGTCTGTGTGTGTGTGTGTGTGTGTGTGTGTGTGTGTGTGTGTGTGTGCGCTCGCAGTGCATTTGTGAATGTGGATGCGTGTGTATGTATGTGACTCGCAATGGATGCACACCGATGACGATACTCGACGTTTCTTTTGCAGCCAGGGTTTGAGGTCATGCTGGGGCTTCATCTCCTGACTACCGTCCGCGTAACGGACGGTTCAGGGTCTCGGGTCCGGGACGCGCGAGCGGGGATATGTAAGCTCCGCAGGCGTGGCGCGGCCTCTTCTGTACCTAATTTGGGACAACGCCTTGGCCGGACGCTCCAACCCGCCGCGCCTTCTCATCACCTCTTACACTCCAACGACTGTACATACCCGCCGCCACCCACCAACCCGCCCGCCCGCCGCTTCTCTTCGCGCGCACCCAGCACAATGTCGCGAACAGAGCAGGTGGACAACACCGACTCCATAAGCAGCCAGGACCCGGCCCGTGACGAGCCGAAGAAGACCAAGAGCAAGAGGCCACCAAGTAAGAAGAGCCTTGGACACTCAGGCTGCAGTGCGCATATGACGGCAGTACTAACGCGACTACAGATACTGCTTTTAGACAACAGCGTCTAAAGGCATGGCAGTGCGTTTGGGCAGAAACTTTGAACTCCAGGACGAATTCCGGCTGACACTGCGATAGGCCTATTCTCACCCCAAAGACGGTCCTCCCGCTCTTCTTCATTGTTGGAGTCATCTTCGCGCCCATCGGTGGGCTGCTCATCTACGCTAGTGCGCAGGTCCAGGAGATCTCCATCGACTACACCAACTGCAACAACACGGCGCCTCAAGCTAGGCTCGATTACAATGCAAGTCTAGGCAACGACCTCGAGCCAATTCCCTCGGACAGAGTATCCGCATCCTTCAATGGAAAACAGATGCAGACGGCACCCCAGTGGGGCTGGGCGCGGGACAACTACACATTCCAACCCCAGGGCGTCACGCTCGAAACCAACGTGTGCATTCTGAGCTTCACCATCCCCGCCGATATTGCCCCGCCGATTCTCTTCTACTACCGCCTCACCAACTTTTACCAGAACCACCGTCGATATGTCAAGTCGGTCGATATCCAGCAGCTCAAGGGCGATGCCAGGAGTGCCAGTTCTCTAGACTCTGGTGACTGTGATCCTTTGGCTGTAGCACCCAACGGAAAGCCCTACTATCCCTGCGGACTCATTGCCAATTCCATGTTCAACGACACCTTTGGCAACCTGACCTTGGATAATGCCGTACAGGATGCAGATGGCAATGAAATCAACTCGTACAACATGACGGTCGAGGGCACATCATGGAGCCACGAGGGGGATTTGTATGGCAAGACCAAATACAAGCCCAGTGATGTTGTTCCACCTCCCAACTGGCAAGAGCAATACCCCAATGGAGAATACACCGATGAGCTGCCGGATCTGCATACCTGGGAGCAATTCCAGGTCTGGATGCGAACGGCAGGATTGCCGACTTTCAGTAAACTCTACCAGCGCAACGACAAGGACACCTTGAGAGCTGGTACTTATCGTTTGAAGATTTATGACCGTAAGTTTGCTGCTGCACCAATGCATGCAAATGACACAAGCTAACCAAAAACCCCTTTCTCGCGCTAGGTTTCCCCGTTGACAAATACGCTGGTACAAAGTCGATTTTGATTTCAACCAGGACCGTCATGGGAGGCAAGAATCCCTTCCTCGGCATTGCGTACTTGGTTGTTGGTGGCCTTTGCATATTGCTTGGTGCTGTCTTCCTCGCTACACATCTTGTCAAGCCCAGGTTAGTTTTTTTTTCCTTGCGAAACTCAGTTGATAGTAAAGGCACGTTTTTGCTAACACTGAGGTTTTTTTTTTCAACCAGGAAATTGGGTGACCACACTTACCTCACCTGGAATAACGATCAGCCTTCGACGGCTACGACTACCGGCCGAGCGGGAGGCGCGTGAATGTGAACATGAAAGGAAAAAAAACAAAATATGATTTCTATTCCCAGACCTCTCTTTTACCTTGTTTTTCATTGTCCAGATCATCCGCCCTAGTCTAAACCTCTACCTCTCTCTTTTTTTTGGGGGTGGGGAAGGGCTTTTTTTTTCAAAGAGTGTAACTGCGATGCGTTATAAGGAGGAAGGAAGGGAGGCGGGGGTGTTGTACCGCATGTATTACCATTACTTTTCCCTCTCTTTCTCTCTCTTGAGCGAGAATCAGGAGGTAGGGTCGAAGGGAGGAAAGAAATTTGGTAATTTGGAGTTTTGGGTGTTGTGGAAAGTAGGGGGTGTTTTTTTTTCCTTTGAGAAACTTTAGATCTTTAGTAGTAGCTTTTGGTTTTTCTTCTTTTCTCGTATTACTCGTTGTTGTTGTATGTTTGGTTAAGGTTTAAAAAATGCAGTGTTGCAAATCTTAATCTTCGGTCCGTTTAATGGGTGACGCAACGTTTAACTTTGATTTCGTATTTGGACTTGGTTGGAGCGTATTTGAAGATCAAAACTGTGCTAGTTGTAGGTTTTGTTGTTAACTATATGATTTTGAGACTAACGATACAAGGGTTTACTCTTCACACCAAAGATGGGGGGGGAATGGTGGGGATACTTGAGTATTGTATCGCTAATGTTATCTTGTTCACAGGTAAAAAAAAACAAAAATCGCGAGAGACTTCAGGAGGTAAGAGAATCACTTTGTGTGTCATCTTTTTACATATTTCATCAACGATGTTCCTGCAGCGAATATAGAGCAGACAGTACGACACCGGTACTTTTCATCACTGACACGTATTCTTAGATGGGAAGGATTTATGAAGAGAGATGGATGTACGTATGCAAGTAAGTCTAATTGTAATTTTGTTTGCTTCATAAAAAAATGTTTTTGACTAGTTATGTACACAGAAAGGGCGGGTGTGCATGAGGATGAAGACTCCATAGCCCCCAACCAACCAACCAACCAACGCTTCTCGATACTAGCTACAGCATCGTTGGGCTATTCCCAACTAATCTACTGCTTCTAGGCAGGGCAAGAAAGATCATACAGCGGGTTAACGCTCATGAGATCACCGCCTGGCTTGATACCGAAGGAAGGCGAAGGGGTTCCCCACTGGACATCCTGGAGGATATAGTAGTAAAGCGGGACGTTGTCCTTGACAAGCTGGCAGACGACGTCTTCCCAGTAGATACGGGCGTTCTGGGGGCTAGCAACGGCCTGGCCGGACTGCTTTCCGCTGACGGGCCAACCGGTCTCGGTGACCCAGACGGTCTTGCCCTTTGCGGCGGCCTGTGTCTTGTGGTAGGCGTCGAAGAAGAGCTGGCTGCCGCTTCCGACGTTGTTGCTGAGGGTGGATTCAAAGTAGGGGTATGCGTCCATGCCGATGAAGTCGACGGCGTCGATGACGGCAGAGTTGGACGCGTTGACGTAGACGGTCCATGTGTCGACGTGGCCGATGGGCTTGCCCTGGAGGGGGGTGCCGCGGATAGCGTCGCGGGTTTGCTGGATGTACTTGACCAGTTCCTGGGGCTGGGCGCCGGCACCGGAATTGTTTTCTATGCCGGTGGGCGTGATGCGGTAGAGGTCTTCGCTACCGACCGAGATACCGACCACGAGGTCTGTGAAGGCGGTGCCGTATTTGGTGATGGCCGCTTTGAGGGCGGCGATTTCGTTGTTGAAGTTTGCTTGGCCGGCTGAGCACCACATGCCGAGGAGCAGCGTGGTTTTGGTGTTGATGGCCGCTTCGATGGCTTCGATGATGGAGTTTTGCGTGCCGTGCTGGATCATGGTGTACAGACGGGCGCTGGTCCAGCCGTTGGTGCCGGGGAGTTGTTTGGCGGCGTTGAATTCGTATTCGAAGTCGACGAGTAGCTTGGGCTGGTCGTTGGCGAATTGGGCGCCATAGTTGAATCCCTTGAGGGCGGCCTTGGCCGAGGATAGGAGGGCCGCCGTGGCCAGGATGGTCGATGAAAGACGCATAGCTTTATGTGTATAGTAGTATTAGGTGTAACGAAAGTTGTAGTAATATACTAGTAGGATATGAACGAGTGGAATTACAACTAGGTTACTAGGGAAAGCCAAAGACGGCGATGAGCGGGAACAAAAGAGAGGGCACGGAAAGCAAATATTTATCTGCCAGTGACGTTTGCCATCCATCCTGGCCTGGGGCGTAGTTGCCCATTGCATGTCCATGGAGGCGACCTAGGCCCTGCTTCCGGACGTGCATTAGCCGCACGGGGCAAAGGCGGATTTAGTGTCCATGCTCCATACCGAATGAGCATCAGTAAATGCTTGTGGTGATCGAACATGGCGCATCACCCCACCCCGGGTTTTTCGATCGCTTCCAATTATGCGGGTGAGAGAGGTGACAGGAATAGAGATAGCATCGAGTGTCTTGCTACCTTGTATTACGACTCCATAGTATCCAACTCCTCTTCTTGTAGCCGTCAAACCCGATTGTTGATGTCATAGGGCTTCTTTCAAACGCTTTAAGGAGGTTGTCTCTTGATCCCGGGTTCCGCTATTAATTAGCCGATGTGGGGAGGCAATACTTCAACGCCTCGCCAGCCTACGTCAAGTGCCCCCTTGTCCTGGGATAAAAATAATCTCTTTTCGACACCGACTACCCGAACGGGGAACAAGACTTTGCACAGATCATGGGGTTTGCCTGCGCAACATCATGTCTTGTGTGTGTGTGGCAGCTGGCGCTGGACTTGAATCGCTTTTTCATCGATATCTGCACCTATATGTAAGAAAGTATTGAGTTTTTCCCGCCACGTGCAACCTTCTTATACGGATTTGTCATGGACACATGGCTTGCTTGTCGTAGCCTTGGTCGACGCGTGTTACTTGGATTACGTTGCATGCATATGGTCGATTTTGCGAGCTGGTTTGCAAACCGTATAATGGCCGGGAATATGGTGACGTGGATAGCGTGCCCTGGTCCGAACTCAGGAGACATGGTTTCTAGCACTGGGCTCGGACTTTGAGCCATGCCGACAACCGTCGGGTCTAGAAGCCGCGCAAGGAAAAGAAGCGAGAGGTAAAGTCGATGATGAAAAGCGAATGGCTTGTGATGAGGAGTTATCCCAAGGCGCATGTGAAGTCTTCTAGTTGTTTGGCTGTCTTTTAGTTGGACTTGGCACTCCTTGGTCCAAACTATACGACACTGCACGACCACAACCGATAGATCAGCATCTATGCGGACGACGGTAGATATTATAGCCAGGCCGCCTCCAACTGGACACTGCTTTACACATGTAAAAATGTGTATAGTTGTGAAGATCTGGATTGAATACCACTAAACACACCGTCCTTGCTTAATCCCTCTCCCCTTAATTTACAGTGATACAGACTTGTGCAACTATCATCCGAGGTATTCGTACGACGACTAGGAGGGCAGGGTGGCGGTGCTTTGCGCATGAGCCAGACGGCGTATAGTGGTATAGACCGCACTACCCGGTCCAAGCACTGGTAGATTGGTAGAGAGGCACGTGACATGGCGAGGCTGCGAGGCTCGAGTTCCCCATATCGGAGTCGAGTGGTGATGGACGGCAGGTCTTGGCAACCCGCTCTAGCGCCGTGTCGCGGCTCATGTTGCCTTGCAGCTCCGTCAAGCTCGGAAACACCAAGTCGCCAACTCAGCTCTGCTACACCACATTGCCATCTGGATACCCGTTCTCTCTGCATTTCTGTGAGAGACACATCTGTAGCCCCAATTCGCGACTTCTGAGGATTTCCCTGCACAAACTCCCGCCATGGTTCGTCTCCCCGCGCCCCCGCTGGAGCTCTTAACTGACATGAGCAGTTCATAGCACGAAGCGAATATGGTAAGTCTCTATAATATCTCCGCTTGTTCGTACAACCGCTAACAATGGTTCTCAGACCGCGGCATCAAGTTGGTTACCCCAATGCAATTACATCCAAAAACCCCGCTCACAAACACAGCACCTTCTCGCCTGAAGGCCGTCTCTTCCAAGTCGAATACTCGCTAGAAGCTATTAAGCTTGGCTCAACAGCAATAGGTGTATGTGCTTCGTTTCGAAATGTTCAAGCCGGCACAGGCTCACAACAACCCCACAGGTAGCAACGGGCGAGGGCGTAATCCTTGGTGTGGAGAAGCGCGTCACCTCCACCCTCCTTGAGACCAGCTCGGTTGAAAAGATTGTCGAGATCGACCGCCACATTGGCTGTGCCATGTCTGGACTGCAAGCCGATGCACGAAGCATGATTGAGCACGCCCGCGTCGAGAGCCAGAACCACGCCTTCAACTACGCCGAGCCCCTACGAGTCGAGAGCTGCACGCAGGCGATATGCGATTTGGCACTGAGGTTTGGCGAGGGTGCAGAGGGAGAGGAAAGCATCATGAGCAGACCGTTTGGTGTTGCTCTGTTGATTGCGGGTTACGATGAGGATGGCCCGAGTCTGTACGTCATACAGTGTAGTCTGGGTATTGGAATTGGGACTAACTGAGAGCCTAGGTACCACGCCGAGCCGTCTGGTACATTCTACCGCTACGATGCCAAAGCTATCGGCTCCGGATCCGAGGGCGCGCAAGCAGAGCTGCAAAACGAGTTTCACAAGTCGCTGACCCTGGCCGAGGCTGAGGTTCTTACGCTCAAGACGCTGAAGCAGGTCATGGAGGAGAAGCTGGATAGTAAGAACGTGCAATTGGCGAGTGTCACCAAGGACAAGGGCTTCAGGATCTATACTGACGAGGAGATGGCCGAGGTGGTCGGAAGGCTACCAACCAACTAGACTTGGGATCCATGTGAAAGCAAAACGGAGTCCAGGCAGTGTCTATAGACGACATGATAGTTCTCGATCGGCTTGTTCGAGTCACGCGAAAATGAAGCAATGACCAAAATTATGGTGCATGTGTGTTGGGGTGTGTAAGGTGTTGATGGTTCAACAATGGAACTGAAGGCACTTGCTTGTTGCGTGAAGTGATTCAAACACAACTGGACATCTTGATCCAACGAATCCTTTTATCTTTTGGAAATAGTAGGGCACATCCCAGGTCGTGATTTGCAACCAAATGTTACTCCAAAAATGGGTAGAGTACAAACTGTCTCGATTGAGCCCACAAACTCAAGGCAATCGTACGCATAGTCGAAAGTCATTACTGCGTAGGCAAGTACGATAGTAAGTTTATATCGTGTCGTCCGAAAATATAGTCAATGTCAGTGGGTGGAAGTCGAAAAGGAAAGTCGCTGCTCGCTGACCACCCGCAAAATCCCGGCGCGCCTCATTCGTCGACTTTCCACCGCCAAGCCCTGCTTCCCGCGCAGCAACGCCGAGCAACTTCAACTTTGTCCACCCTGCCCTTCGTCTCCAACATCGCAACCACACGACAAATCCGCCCAAGATGTCTTCCACATCTTTCCCCCACCATGCCAAGACGCCCGCTGCTGTCGTAAGTCGCTGTTCCCGAGCCATTGAGACGCTGGCTGGCCGGGGGTATGGGTTCGTATGACGCAAACGCTAACAGGAGGACATAGAGCATGCGCAGCTCCTACAAGGCCTACAGGAGTCCCTTCGGTCCCCAGTACGTATTTTCTTGGATTTTCGGCGATACGCGGGCGTGCATGAGGCATTGGGAGGCGTGGTGGAGGGGATTGTGAGAGGGACTCAGGAAGAGGTGGATCGCTGGCGTGATGGAAATACAAATTTGTCCACCGAGTACCCATTTCGGGCAAGGCATAAGAGAACGAGAAAATCGCCTTGCGCACGCACGCCCGAGACAAGCCGATTGCGACTCGAAGCATTCCGGAGCTAACATTGGCGCAGATACACCATCCCTAAGAACTACCACGGCATCACGGTCGGCACCGTCGCGAGATAGTACGTTTCTCGGACCTTGCTCTCTCGCCAACCACTAACCTGCATAACAGCGGCACTCTCGCTGCCGGATTCGGCGGTGTAGCCGGCTTCTTCGCCCTCTTCTTCTTTGCCGAAGTTCCCAAGGTGCGCGATGATATTATGAAGAAGATTCCCGTCCTGGATAAGTTCTTCACACACGAGATTCCTCCCGAGGACAACCCTTTCTAAACACCTCCGCAATCTGCATCATGGCTTTTTTCTGCCTGGGCTCAGTTGTGTTTGGGTGGTGATGTACAACAATACAGGGGGATATGGCATTATATACTAGCGACTGCGTGCGCGCAATAGACCTCTTTTTGTCTTGATGAAATGGCTCATAGTCTTCTTCTGATGTTGCCTTGATGAGTAATCTCTCCAATCTTTTTTTCCCTTTTGTTCTGACTTTGTGACTTTGTCGCCGGCTACCTTTGTCACATGATTGTTCGGTATAGCAATCTGATTCGTTTTGTGTTAATCGCTGGTAAAATTTCAAATGTGAAGATGCTGGTTTTGCGAAGCGTTTGCCATTGGGAATGATATCTCATATCTACGCCAATTGCAGCATATCCCAAGTAGATTCTCATCTATTCAACGCCCCCCTCCCCCCCAACAAATCCATATCCATATCCATCACATCACCCAGAAATTCAATCCCATCTCCGCCCATCTTCGCACCAAAAGAAAAGTAGTCATGTCGAGAAATGAAGAGCCTGGAAAGGTAAAAGAAAACGCAATTCTTTGGGGGCCCGTTTTTGACATGATTGTCCACGTGTGACATGGCGTGATGCTACCATTCTGCTCCAGTCTTATCTAGTGGACTTTTTCCGCCTTGTGTTGGTGGTTGGACAGGGAGGAAGAAAGGTCGAAGGAGCGGTATTGATCTGCGAGGACAAAGTGACAGGTTGGGTTGGAACTGGTTGTGATATTGTACGGATCCCTTCTGTCTCGTGCTAGTGGTGCTTTGTTGTCTGAGCTGGATCGAGGTGTTGAATGAGGGCTTATGAAGTCTGACTTGTGCTATCGTCCGGAAATGATCCGCTGGGTTGTTGGTCTGGGTTTGCTGGGCTTGAGGATGCATCGTCTTCTTCGAGCGGATGTGCGCCTGCATCGAGTAGCATCTGGACTACCTGCTTGTGGCCCCTAGCTGCTTCTAGTGCGCTGCCATCACGTCCACCCTCGAGATTAACGTCAGCACCTGCGTTGAGCAGTATCTGGACTGTCTGCTCGTGGCCTCCAAGTGAGGCTGCTTGTAGCGGGCTGTTGTAATATTCCCATGCGGGTGCATTGGCATTAGCACCTCCGTCGAGTAGCATCTGGACTATATCGTCATAGCCTCTTGAAGCAGCAGATTCCAGTGCAGTACTACAATCCTTGTCTACGGGTGCATCAACATCAGCACCTGCGTCTAGCAGTATCTGGACTATCTGCTTGTAGTTCCGTGTTGAAGCTGCTCCTAGCGCAGTAATATAACGTCCACTTAGGGGTGCATTAATATCAGCACCTGCATTGAGTAGCATCCGAACTATCTGCTCGAAGCCTTCGTATGAAGCTGCTTGTAGCGCGCTGCCATACGCCCCGCCCCGTGCATTTACATCAGCCTTACTGTCAATCAGCATCTTGACTAGCGTTGTGTGCCCTTCGCATGAAGCTGCTTGTGGTGCGTTTCCATACTCCTCAGCCTGTGCATTAACATCGGCTTTATTATCAATCAGGAACTTGACCATCTGAGTATGCCCTTGGAATGAAGCTGCTTGTAATGCATTGCCGAAGTAACCGCCTTGTGCATCGATATCTGCGCCTTTGCTGGCGAGTATCTGAGCGATATCCAGATGGCCATTTTGGCATGCGTAATGCATTGAGGTACACTCGACTCCATCCTTCTCATTGATATCAACGCCTTCTTCTAGAAGTCGCATGATTGCATCGACTAGTCCTGCAGAAGCCGCAAGGTGCAAAACATATATGGGTGGCGATTGACCCACCCACCGTTGTCTGATGGCGGGAACTTTATAGAGCCTGGTGCTATATATGATTTTAGCAGGAGTTACAAGAAAATTTATCTTGTTGAACCACTCTCGAACGCTAAAGATACAGTATCCATTAGGTAGAAGGTTTATTTGCAGCAAAGCTGCAAGATAGTTCCTGTCTTGCTGGAAAAGCCTCTCCAGTCGATCCATAACATCAGGAGAAGGCTCACCAGAATTCAAAATATGGTAGTCGAAGCTCGTATATGCATATATAGCGAGATTGTGACTGTCCAGTCGTTGGATAAGTTCCCATTCGGCGTCAACTGGGTTGCTAAACGACATCAGGTCAATGTACATAAGACAATCCAGACTCAAAATGTTGTGCACAGATTTCAAGTCCAGAAGCTGCCTTCGTATAGCATGCTGTGATTGTCCGTGAGCAGCGGTCGTCAGGAACTCCTGCACTGTGTAGTGGATAGGTCGGATCACTTCGGCAGCTTCCTCCAATAGATTGCCACAAGCTTCAAGAATAACTTCTGGGGAGTCGGGTCGTAAATCTTTTCGAGTTTTACATTCCAAGTCGACTGCAAGAGCGACTTGTAATTCGCAAGTTCTGAGAGGCCTCTGAGCATAGAGTACCCAGGCAAGACATCTGATTGCCAGATCTCTCATGTATGGAGATTGCATTTCAATCCGCTCCAGAATTCGAACGTAGGTGTCTGACAAGTTCTGCGGTAGTGTTTTCAGTGCTTCCCTCACCACCTCATCTTTTTGAGCCTTGCTAGCCTGGCAGAGATTCTCCAGTTGAAGGTTGACCCAAAGAAACCTGTCTTACGTTTAGCCTACAGAAACCTTCAGGCTAGCTGCTGAGCGAAAACTTGCATTCCTTCCGCCTCTTGAACGAGTGTCAAAATAACTTATTCTGTGAAATCATCGCTAGTGATGTAGAGGGTCTTTCCATGCTGCCCAGATCGAAGTTCTTCAACTCTACTGCGCACAATGGTCTCAATATCGGCCGCAACGCTGTCAGCTGATATTTGGATAGTTGGAACGTCTTTTTTTCACAAAGGCCTCTGTAATGTCCGTCTCTCTTCGACTGGTGGCAAATATCTTTACACAATGCGGAGCCGGCATAGTTACCATCTCAGTGATAAAACCGAGGATATCTTCCCGTCTCTCTTCTGGACACTCATCGAGCGCATCAAAAACGACGAAGACTTCAGAAAATTTCTCTGTGAGCGAGAAAAAAAAATTCTTTTTGAACCTAGCAGAGACGGAGAGCGAGCGTTGCGCATGATTTCGGGTAGAGTCTCTGGTATATCTTGCATTCCTTGACAGAGTTGCTTGATCAGTGTGGCTATGATCGTGGTAATGTTTGCCAATCGTTTGTCACGGTAATTATAGTAGGCGAATCATATGGCAGTTTCTTCTCGCAACCCAGCTTCGGCTGTAATGTGTTCTAGGACATGTGAACTTTGCGTTCAATCAGCAAAAGAACTAACACTCGATGGCGGGGTTGCAAACTTACCTGAGCACAGACTTTCCGATACCAGCTGTAGAGAATCAGTGAATTCTGATAGTAAAAGATACACCCCCACTCACGCTTTCCATTGCACCATAAAAGAGATGAATGCGGGCTTCGCATCCATTCTTGGAACTTGGGCTCTTGTGTTAGCCAGTCGCTCGTGTCTCTATGCTTCTTTGCGTATGTGCTCTGATGCACCTCTTCAAAGTCGATATCCGAGGCCCAGGAGAGGAATTCTTTTCTTTCCGTTCCTAAAATGACGGCGTTTTAGAATCCACCTACTAGCAATACACAGGATGCTAGACCTACTTTGTGCAGTGATTCTGGCATGATTGAAGTGCGTGGCCTGTACAGTATGCTAAAGGACATGAAGATGATGTTGCATCTGCTGTTTCATAGACATGAATTCGGTCTCAAACGTGTCCCAATGCTGCCGTTTGAATGCTCTAAACGAGGTGAAACTTCTTCGTTTTCAATTGGAAACAACGAAAACAGAACGTGCGTTCCAGCTAAACTCAAGTATGTTTGTAAACACATTGACGACTGCACTTTCTACAAGCTCAATATCAGCCGCCTGTGAATGTTCAGACAGTGGTACGAGATAATCTTCAAACTCGCAGATCATATCAGTCAATCTGGTAAAGAACTTTGAGAATTCCAAACCAATATCAATAATCACTCGAAGTGCGCCAATGACAGGAGAGGATATGGCAGGGTCTGCCTGTATGTCTATAGCAACGCCCCTCATAAGCCTGCTGATCAGGTCAAGGCCTTTGGTCAAGCGCTCGGCGTGAGGCCTGAAGGAAGACTCATTCTTGTGCTTCTCATCGTAAGCCCGTATTTTAGATAGTAGAGATAGGTCATCGAGTGACTTGATTTCTTCCTCGAATGCCGCGCGCCCAGCCTCAGGGAGTTTCTGCAGTTGTAACTCGACAGACTTCCCAAGCGCTTGATTTTGGGATTTCATCGGTTCTGGAGTGACTCTACTGGATGCAATTGAATTCAGAGCGGGAGAAGATGGAGGAAGAGGTGATTCTGGTTGTTCAAGTGTAGGTGTCAAACCGGGTGAGGCTGGACGGATCCTAGTAACACCTGGTGCTAGCAACGCGCGTGTACGGTCTCGCCTTCGCATTGTGTGTTCAAAATGATGAAATCAACCTCATTGGTTAGATGATTGGAAGAAAAAGCGAGAATTATTTGGTCGTCTCGTGCTTGTTTACGGTTGCGAAAGGGAGGCTGTGGGGTAGCCTGATGGTCGGTTGGCTTCAGCTGCACCCCTGCAGCCCCTCCCAGCAGTGCAAAACCACCTAAAAACATAGCAAAAATGCTGCCCGCTTGCTCCTCACGCTACTCTATCTCTTACACATGGATATCAATATTTAAAATTTCCAGGACTATTGAAGCAAGATATGCGTATTCGATAGCATGAATTTCATTTAGAAATAAGCACGTTGTGACAGAAACACTTCATGTTCTTAATAGCTAGTTTTGGTGGGCAATGGCCGCTTGTTTTGATTCTCCGGTTTTATCGGTTTTGTGAGAGCTTGTGGGGCACGGCTTGCATGGTGGATATGCACCGCCCCAAATACAGAACCAATAATCAAGTGATTGACCTCAGGGCTACCTGCAGGCAAATACATATGTGCACCAGGACTAGGCGCGTGGCTATGCTCAGCTTTGTTTTGCGCCGCAACCCCTTGCCATATTAGCAGTGTGCGATAAAACACAATATCAAAGTAGACAAATTTAGGATAGGGCACTACAAGATAAGAATATCTTCCGGAAAACCAGAACCGATAGGCATGGCTCAAGATGCATTTGTAGCTTCCCTCCTGTGACAACGTGGGAAGAAATGTCCCAAAGGGGTTCTATCTAACTATAACAAAATCGCAACTATATATTTCTCTTAGCTGCTGAAAGCTGGGTATAAATTTGACAAAAAAATGAAAAGACGTGGCTCTGGTCCTCTAGTGCAGTAGCACTGCAATGTACAAATATGGTTAGGTCATGGAACAAGACATTATATTATGTGATTGCGCCTTTCAGGCACCCTTGTCCTGTTTTTTGAAGAGGAAGCGCATGGCTTTTACGCGCTCTTTGATGGTGCGTGACTGGGTGACTTCGTAAAGGGGTTTGTGCTCCTCGAAAATATCGTGCTCGCTCTCGTAATCGACGTGGACATAGGCGCGCTCGACGTCGGCAAGACCTATTTGGAAAGTCAGTAATCGTTTGCACGCGCGGGCATGTGGTTGCAATAACTTACCCTCGAGCTTTCGCTGCAGGGTCTGAGAGACGTCGTGTGTGATTTTGAGGGGCTGGTCCTCGCTCATGACAATGTCGACTTCCACATAGTACTTTTGTCCAGCGTGGTACGCACGGCAGGTATCGACCTTTTGGATGCGCGTGTCGTGCGTGACGACAAGGTAGATGAGCTTGCTGATAAAATCCTTGGGCGCCGACTTTCCGACAAGCAGCCAGACGTGGTCGAAAGCGTTTGCGGCCCACGAGAACAGGATCAAGAGACCAATAAGAATGGCACCGATAGGGTCGACATACCAGACGACGCGGCTACCGACAATAGACATGGCCAGACCGAAGGCGTTGACGATGATGTCGTTACGGTGGTCGATGAAGAAGACATGGACAGCAGGGTAGCGACGATAGATGAAACAGTAGACGCAGAGGGAGCCTTTGCAGAAAATAGCAGTAGCAACAAAGGCAATGGGAATGATGTGAAGCTCCTCTGAGTCTCTTTCACCACCACCCAGAGATCTGCCGGATTCGATCTTGTCAAGTGTCAGCAATTGCTTGATCTTGGCATTGGGAGATACGTACAATCAACTGGATGGCCACAGTAGTCATCAAACAACAAAACATGATAATGCCAATTGTTTCAATGCGCGTCCGTCCAACAGGGTACTTGTACACACTAGGTCTTGCTGCCATGCGGGATGTGATGAGCATGACAACTGAAGATACCAGGTCCATGAAGGCGTCTGCTGCAGTTGCGAACAGCGAAAGTGAGCCCGTGGAGATGGCCGCATACAGCTGGATGACGAATAGACAAAAGTTGACTACGAAGGAGGCGTTTACGGCGAATCGCACCTTGGGGCCGTTCTGGACCTGGTCGAGGGCAGCCAAGCGCTCTTCGTCGCCGCTTTGGAGGAACTGGTCAATGAGGGCATTTTGGCGCGTGTAAAACTTCTTCATGTGCCTGGGCTTAGCCAACGGATGTTCCGCCTTCATCTGCTTCTGTGTCACATCGTCTCGGCGATGTCTACCCAGATCAAGCGGGTCGCTGTTGACAGTGACGGCGGCAGTGTGCTTGGCATCGTTGGAGGAGATACTATGTCCAGACGACAGCTCTTCGATGGCATCTGTACTAGGCTGGGCAACGGCGGCTTGGTCTGCAGACAAGACTTGACCAGCATTGGCTGGGACGTTTGTTTGCTCGGTACCTTGGCCCGGGGATGGGCGGTCAGGTGAAGCTGGGACTATCAGAGACAGAAGCGCTACTCCAGACGCCTGATACATACCATGGGGCTCAGGAGACATGTCTTCCGGAAATATGGTCTGATGGACACGTACGTGAGTGTATGAGCGATCGGCAGGATGTGTTGCGTGAATGGGCTACAACTAAGGTATGCACGCCTCAGAGCCGGGCAAGCAGGCTCTGTAATAAACACCACGATCAACGCCACCAGCGGCGTTCCTCCCGCTCGCCTCCGTCTAGATTTTTTTGCACCCAGTCTGGAGTCATGATGACATGGCCGGATTGTTTGGAGGGTGCAAGATTGTGCGAGGCTGCAGATTGGAGGCGCACGTGTGAGCATGTGGACGCGGAGCCTGAAACCCGCTAAGCATTTACAACGCTTAGTAGCACGCCTTAGGTCAGCTAGTATAATACCGCATTGGGCAAGTATACATGGGCTTAGCCTGATCTTGACACTCCATTACACTTGGCACTTTACAGGCGTCGAAGGTATAGAAAAGGATTGTATAGAGATTCATGTTGTTGAGTCTACAGGGCCCCTTCTGACCGGATCTTGGCCAGGCGGTCTGGAGGGAACTGCCGAGAACCCAAGCAAGGCTTGGTAGTCTTTAGGTCACGGAGAAAGCCAAAAAGCCCCCTCTTATTCCCCCGCATCGGCCGCTTCGAAAGAAGTGGGATTTCAATGGAGCTCGCCGCGTGGACAAGCTCACAGTGTGGACATCCATCTCGTCTTGGCTGTGATGGCTCAAGTTACAAAGCCGCGGCTAAATGTTCCCCCAACGGCCAAACGTGTCTCAAGAGCCGAAAGTGGCTTAGTGCAAAGCAGCGATCGTCACGGAAGGATCCCATCGGCTACACCAAGTTCCACAAAGGGACCACTTCCAACCTCCAGTATTCTTGTCTACTTCTCCACAGGTTTCAAAACTGCAAAGTCACGACATTGCCAAGCGAGTGCCCGAACGGTACTAAACCCACCCGTGCTTGGCTATACGCGTAAACACTGTCCCTACACGTCTCATTGGCCTGCTAATTTCAGCATCGAGCCTCTTCGAACCCCAACTGCTCCAGAAAATCCCATCCAAGCCTCACCCTGAATGCTTCGCACCTCCACACGTCGCCGCTTGTCCCACTCGGTGGAAACGAGACTTGAGCCGCATCACATCTCCACCCCTCCAAGATCGCCCGGACCTTGCCAAGCCCCCAATAGCATGACAGATGTCTCCATGAGCTTCTTGGGCTCGGCGAACCACCAGTCTGATTACAGCCTTGCGGCCTTGTGGAATTGCTTGTGTTTAGTCGACGCAATGCTGGTCGCTCCTGGCACCGTCTGGACCTCCGCCCTCTGGCGTAGCACCCGCCACTCAAGCGGCATCTGAGGCACAGGCCAATGTGTCGAGGTTCCACCGTCTTGGTCAACCATATTCGTTCTAGGACCGTCATGATCAACGTGATGCGGTTAGTGTCTCTCATGCTATGGTAGGTTTAAAGCAGTACATAGTCTGCCATGCCGAGCTTTTAAGTTCCACACCTTCAACTTCAGTTCGTTGGCTTTTGGCTTTAGTTTACTCTTTGAAAGAGTGTGTGTGTCGGATTCCTTTCTTTTCTCCTCTTTTTCACTTCTCACCTTCTCTTCGTCCATCGTCGCCGGCGACGAGACTGCTGGCAAGTCCGGAATTACCGCACTCATTTCTTGTGCTACATTTTTACCCCCTTCATAATCATTACCATGGCCAACGAAAAGCCCCAGTGCGGCAGCGAGGCTGATGCTGCTGCCTATGACTTTCCCCTGCACGTTGCTGCAGTTTGTAAGTGCCAATATTGCGTCATCCAAGCTCCCCGCCTAACACTTTGTCAGTCATTGTCTTCTTTGCTTCCATTTTCGGCGCCGGCTTCCCGGTCGTGGCCAAGAAGATCAAGTGGATGAAGATTCCTCCTCCTATCTTCTTCTTCTGCAAGCACTTTGGTACCGGTGTTTTGATTGCCACCGCTTTCGTTCATGTCAGTACATGTCACTCATAAAGAAAGTTTAGTCAACAAGACTAACACTGCTTAGCTTTTGCCTACTGCCTTTGCATCACTCAACGACCCATGCTTGCCCGATCTTTTCACCGACGACTACCCTGCCCTGCCAGGTGTAATCATGATGGGTTCACTCTTTGTTCTCTTCGTCGTTGAGATGTGGCTGCACGAGAAGACAGGTGGTCACAGCCACGGTGGCGCGACGGGTGAGGCTTTCAACGCAGGACATGGCCCTGCCGCCGGAGTCCAGGCCAACTTCAACAACCCCATTCGCCGCGTCGAGAGCTATGATTCCCAGAGGACCATGGCCCAGCAAAACGAGAAGCGTGCATGGGGCGAGGAAAACACCTACCCAGTCGACAACTTCCCATTCCCCAAGAATGGCAGTGACGAGCTTGATGCCAAGTCTGAGATGCCACCGTGGTTCATCGTCTTCTACGAGCAATACGTGCGCCAGCGCGACGAGATGCTTGCGACCATCAACCGTGCCATGCCCGCCATGCCCAACTACCAGCAACAACAAGCAGCCCAAGCACAGCAAACCAACTCGTACTTTGACGACGATGTCGAACAAGCTGTTGACCCAATGGTCCTCAAGAAGCAGTCCATGCAAATTACGCTTATTGAGGGTGGTATTCTTTTCCACTCCGTCTTCGTGGGCATGACCGTCTCCATCACTTCTGAGGGTTTCATCATCCTGCTCATCGCCATTGTTTTCCACCAAATGTTTGAGGGTCTCGGTCTCGGAACGCGTATTGCCGACGTCCCCTACCCCAAGAACAGCTGGAAGCCATGGGCACTCGTTGTGGCTTTTGGTACTACCGCCCCCATTGGTCAGGCTATTGGTCTCATCACCCGAGGATCCTATGATCCCAACTCCGCCTTTGGACTCATCATTGTGGGTGTCTTCAACGCCATCTCCTCGGGTCTCCTCATCTATGCTGCGCTTGTCGATCTTTTGGCAGAGGATTTCTTGTCCGAAGAGGCATCCCACACCATGACTGGAAAGACCAAGACAAAAGCTTTCATCTTCGTTCTCATGGGAGCAGCTGGCATGTCTATTGTCGGAGCGTTTGCATAAATTCGCTTAGGCGTTTCCAACGCTACGGCAAGAGTCGCAGAGCCTGTGACGAAACTAACACGAATTGTTACGCTTCATTCGCCACTTGAGACTTCAACCGCTGCCAAGCTGCTAGAAACTGAACCAGCAAACATATAGCCTCAGTATACTCTGATACTGGAGAGCTCTTTTTACATTTCCTTTGTGTTCTCTATCCAAGAGATGCCATTAGAGCCATCGAAGGTGGGCGCTAATGACATCTTTTTCTCATGATTATTGTACGAGTATTGAGAGGTATTCTTGACACACGAAACGGCGCAGAACCATCGAACTGAATCTAAAATCTTATAAAATTTGGGCAGCCATTCGTTCTTTACGTGGTCATATGTTCCTAGTGCATAATGTCATCTTAATCCGTTGCCCACTATTACTATGCTTTGACTCCTTGTTTTCTTGTTTTCTATCCATCCATGCATCCATCAATGTACTTGACCTCTGATGCAATAGAAGATGCAAGAAATTACATACTCATCTATCTTACAATACGTGTGCCAAGATGCCAGAGACGGCTAATGTCTCGCTACGTAGTGCCGGAATTACCTTTTATGCCCATTGGGCGACTACAAAAGTGAATGCAACGAGCACTCGGTGAATGCTCGAAAACAGAAAGTACCAAGGATCTACGTCGTTCGGCCTAGAACGAAAAGCAACAGGTCTCGGGGGAAAATGAATAACCCGAAAAGTCAGTGGCTTCTGTCTGAACCACGGGAAAAGCAACGAACCAGAGGTTCGCCTTTGGAAAAGAAAAACAAGAAGTAACGAGCCAGCGGTCCGCCTCGTCGACAAAGAAAGAAAGAAGGACAAGAAAGGTAGCGAGACAGAGGTTCCTTAGCAAACAGGGCAATCCACCAGAGCTTCGCCGTTTGTGCAGAAAAAACAAAGACGGGCGCTACTCATAGTATATGGAAAGAAAAGTGATGTGCTCCAAAACTGAGGTCGAGCCCGGGTCCTTTATACATGTGCTCACGCACATTCTAAAGGCCAGTTTCTTCTCTGCCAATACTTACACAAGGGCAAAATCACAAGGAAAAGGGCACATCCGGACACATCATGCTCCGCAATAGGGTGGGCTCCCTTCCCACCCATCACCCCCCTCAAGGATTGCAATGCCATAACACGATACAAGCAGCGACGAAGGGCAATGGTGATTGCAAATGCCGATACGCCGTTGCGACCGGATAGCGGCATGTCCGGGGCGCAAAAAGCGGGCTCGCGGGCTGCTGGGCGACAGCAGAGTGGTAGAGAGAGGGTATGCGGGAGACATCTGAGGCTAGCTTGGCTGGGACAAGATGTCGCAGGTTCGAGGTATGCCGAGCGTGTCGCTTTGCTTGGCCTTTTTTCTTTCTTTGCCCGGAGTGGGGGGGAATGCTTGGCGGGGGACAGCTTGGGCGGGGTGGAGCGGTTGATAGAGAAAAAAACTGGGGGTGTGATGGTTTCGAAGGGGGACAGGTGTGCCAAGGGCGTTGGCGGTGGGAAGAGGGAAACGGCTGAAACGGGAGGAAGAGGGGGCTGTGCAGGTGTCGCAGGTTTGTGACGCAGAAGGGGGCGGGGCGGATAGAATAACAGAGTTCGTGTTGGGTGTCGCCTGGGGATATAGAGTTGTGATTCTGCTGCTGCTGTTTGCTGACGGGAGGTCGTATGGGAAGGTTGTGGTTGCAAAAATCTTACATTTGGTATCAGAAGTCGTTGATGCGGGATTACTGACCATGTTCGTCAGCAACACCATATTACAGCATGAATTATTGAATCCGACTACGCCTCGCTCTTCATCTCTTCCTGCAACGCATTCCGAACAATCGCCCCGCACATCTTCGCATACGGATTCGTCCTAACGCTCATCTCGCGCGCAACCTCATCGCCATACCGCGCCGCTTGCGCAAAGTCCTTGCTAGCCAGCTCTTCCAGCTCACTTTTGCTTAGGCCATTAAGCAGCGCCTCTGCCTCGACAGCCTTGAGGTACAGATACGCGCGGTGCGAGTACGCTGTGCGCAGTATGCGGGCTGCGTACTCAGATACTGGGTCGGCAGGCGATGAGGCGGGTAAGGTGAGATGAATAGCACGTGAGAGATCGTAGAACAAATCCTCGATATCATGTGTTGTTGCGGAGAAGATGCTTTGGCCTTCTGTTAATGACGCTTCTATGCGCATGCGCCGTAGCATGGCGCGGTTGGCGTGGGCGCTTGCATAGTATGGGCAAGCTGCTAATGCTTTGTTTAGCTGCGTGATTGCGTCGTCTATTGTTTTCTTGTCCGAGTTGCTGGACACATTGCGGACAATGTCGTTTTGCTGCTTCTCGAGTTCTGAGAGTTGAGATGCTGATATTCTGGGATCTGGAGGTAGTGATTTATCGATTGCTGCGGTGTCTCTTGACTTTGCTACTGATGAAGGTAGGGTCTCTGGGTCAAATAGTGCGTTGAGAATGCGTGCGTCATTAGCCGATAAGCTGGTGTTCGGCATGTTGGCGGCCATGGTATGTTGATTGTAGATTGATGATGGTATGTTGAGCGTCTTACTTGGAGGTTGGTAAGACGGATATTTGTCAAGTCGTCAAATGATCAGCTCTGTAATCAGTGTATTACCTTGACATATCGGCGTGCAGATGCTGTTCTAATGCCTACTCGGCTTAACGCCTCGACGCGGCTTTTGCCGGCAAAACGCTGCTACATCACCACACATCACCAAACTCTATCACTCCCACGTCCATTTGATCCATTATCATGTATGGAAAAGAAAAAATCGGTGTACTGGCTTCTCGGTACGCGGTGGACTTCTTTTTTGGCATTGTACACGTACAATCATGCCGGTGCTTCAACAATCCGTCGGATACCAGCGGGCGTTCATTGACGGACACCGCCGGA